CATGTACCTAATAAACATGGGTGCATAATGCTACTAGAATTTTCGGAGCACATAATATGTTAACATTCGGTAGAAGAGTGAAAAAAAAAAAAAAGTGTATGTTCGTTTCGGAGTCGGACATCTGACTTACCTTGTGTATGTATGTATGTATATGTATGAGAGAGGGCCTATATGGTGCCCGAGGTGACGCCGACAGACGTTGCTGTTGGCTTGTAGGTGTACTCCCAACTTCAAATTTTACAGCTGATGTACAGAGACGGACGCCGATGGGACTTTGGATGGTCGAAAGACAGTACGGACTGCTGAGTGAGAATTCGAGCTGCCGTCGGCTTCGTGGGCATGGTTTTTAACTTGATGGTATTTTATTACACTTTTTTCGCCCTCCACGCACTTTCGGAGCTGCTCCGAAATGCTCTTTCACCTATATACACGTGGTACTGTTTTTTTTTTTCTTCTATTTTCTCTCTTTTTTTTATTAATACTTCAACACTTTGATGGAAAATTGAATCGTGATAACGCAATGAGGATCTATTTATCTACTTTTCAGTCAAAACGAATAAGGTAAGAGCGGCGGAGAACGACGCGCGGCACGAACTTCGCGAGGGGGAATTGAGTCTGCATGGCACACGAAACACACAAGAGGCCGCAGTCAGATGGAGCGAGTTGGACGCGCGCGCACATTCCCCTCTCTCATTGGGTGTGTTGCGTGAGACTTGCGAGGTTTATACTATTATATGTATATATATGCTCCGGTTGCACATTAGGGGCAGGTAGGGCAGACGCGATATGATTTGACAATCTGTTCATTTGGAGATACATACTTCAGGTACACGCGATTTCGGGTGAATGTTGTACGGGAAACTGAAAGCCGAATGAACAGGCATCGAGGGATCGGAATTCGAAGCTGGTGTATTTTCAAACGGGGAACGATTGCGTTCTGGAATTTCGGACCTGGCGGTTATTACCGTTGCGCATTCCACTCGTGGGGCATCATGGGACGCAGGAAAAAGAGCCGAAGATTGGCGCTCCGCGAAACTTTTTTTCATTCCACTTTGACAATTTCATCAAGCGTTCGATTTAATTTGACAGTGTATGTTTGATAGAAGGTTGATATTTGAGGGAAAAGTACGATGTGGGAATTTAAAAACTATCATAGCTATAATCTCAAGAGGCAAATGTAGTGATACTTTAGTTTAACGTAATGACAGTTCAACATGTTTTTGCTCGTACGAAAAAGTCTCTCGTCATTCCGCCGTGTCCCACCGTCCCCCGTGCACGATTACGCTAATATATATATATGCACAGTAAGCTTCGACCTCGAGAAAGGCGCGAATAGGTATACGGGAATACCTGCCTGCCGGCACAGAAAACACGCATATACACACAGCTGACTGCGAGATGACGGTCAAGTTTCAGGACAGCTCGGGAATCGAAGTTTGATGAACACGGCCCCCACTGTACAGGCAATCTTTATGTCGAAGTTGAAGTTGGAAAATCTACAGTTGGTATTTCAGAGATAAAACCTTATCTGCCTTTGTACGTTTCATTCCTGGTGTTTATTGATATCATTAACTAAGAGAAATTGTGCTTGAGTATATGTATAGATATATACATATACATATACATATATATATTTCACACATCATATGACATCGCTACCACAAATCGCAGTGTCAATGGCTTATTATCTCTATTAGTTCGAAATCGTAGTTGAAAAATGCGATTAATGACTTTTGAAAAAAAATATTGGTCATTTGATTTTTTTATTTTATTTGACCTGTTCAATCCTTTACTCGTAGCCCTCTGTATTGGAATAATGAAATTAGATTTTCAAAAGTGCCCTAAATGAAGTGTTCGAAATTATGAACAATTAAAAAATTACATACGATAGAAAAGTCGAAAGTGATCGAACCAAAGATACGATGAAACAATCGATGTTCAATCAAATACGATTAAATATTACATTGGCTCTCCTTGCGATTAAACACTTATGCAAAGAAAAGAGTTACAACAAATGTTACTGCATAAGAAAAATTATTCTGCATGGCAGTTTTTTGTCATGCACATGGTAAGCAATATTACGTGACAAAATATACATTTTTACAATGTATGTGGTCAAATTTTGAATAATTCATGTATACTTTCCAAAGTACTGTAATTCTTCTTGAAACACTTTTCTCAACATAATTAAATATTAAAAGAAGACTTGCACCAACTTTCGAAATGCAGCAACGGGAGTAGTGCCAGAAAATTCATCTTAACCCAACGACGCCATTACAATATCATGTATATGCTTGCGGCGAAGTTGACAATCAACTTCTCTCTGCTGCAGTGTGTGAAATCGAAAAGTGAAAGCTTCCCAAACTTTTTATCCCATCTGATTGATCGTGGCACTGGTAATGTGTTGCCAAGTTTTTTAGTTTACCGTAATTCTAGCATAAAAAATACTTGAAAGACAAAAATCCCCTGGGTCCATTATTAAAAAAAAAAAAAAAAAAAAAAAGTTACGACAGCTACTACTACTCGCAGTAGAAAATAACAGGGGTTTTAGCGACTTTGGTTAAATATCCATTCTACTGTCCTACTTCGGTGCAAGTAGTAAAAAAATCTTCATTAACAATTCAAAAAAGCCTTTGCTCCTTAAGCATCTCTCAAGAGTTATTTATTGTGCAGCGGCGTCGCGTCAGGCGACAGCTGTTTGCATCGTCAAAAATAAACAATCGACCGATCAATTGTACATGTTTTGTTTAAAACACAAAATCCCCAACGTACGTGAAAAATGGTACAACCGACAAACTGCGTAAAAATAATTTACACGAGGAAAATGTGGATATTGTACGACAACGGTCAGGATACGCGATTGCTGAAGTTATCGTGACGGTCCGTCAGGCTAGTAAGCCGAGCGGTGTGCCCCCCCTATATACACGAGTTTGTATTCTTTTTTTTTTTTTTCCTCATCAAATATATAGACGCACTGAATACAGGCATATGCATATAGACACGTATTTTTGGTCGCTCGTTGCGATTTATAAATGGAAAATCACGTGTGACATACCTCTCGAGTGAAGGGACAGGCGAAAAAACTACAGCGGGCTGGGCTACGAATCTTCCGCGAAGACGTAGTTCTAATTCATGCGGTATGCACGTAGCAGGTGGCAGGCAACAACAGCAGCAGCGGTACCGATGGACTTCCCGGCGTGTGTTTCGGCATTGAACTTTAACAATGCACAATTTTTCGACACAACGATGTCGTTTTGCCAACACTTGAATAATTTATGGTCCTTTTTTTTACTTCAAATACAATCAGGCGTGGGTATACTTGTTCAACGAAACACTAAGCCAATTGACAGCACAACTCCGTAAACGCGAAGAAAAAACCGCAAGACGGTGGTTAAGTATGTCAAAAATATATATGCCGTACAGCTGATGGCTGTTACTGAATGAAGCAACGCGCCAACGCGGTGGGTGTAATGTCTATTTTGAAGAAAAAAATGTAAACTTCAAATGTCATTTATCGTAAGCCAAATCTTTGGAGAGTAAGCGTCGGTGAGTGCCGAGCAGGCAGGCCAACTTGGATGAACTTCAACTGTATATCACGAGGCCTGAGATAGCAACAGAGCCGGAAAAAAATCGCGAAGAGATACCTCTCTCGGGGGTATACGCGAGTGGGGAGAGCTCGGCGTTAAAATGTGTCAAAATCACGTATACGTATGAAAAGGGTATAAGTATACAATTGCGTTTTGCTGTTGGTCGGCGTCTTCGTCGTCGGGTTGGGTTCGGCTGTTAAGTGCACGCCGCACGTTTTAGCACACGCGAGGAGGCGAGGCTCATCGGATCTGCAAATACATATCAGCTGTGTGTATACTTCACGGACGAATTGTTTACAGCGAAGTCAACGCCACCTGCTGTGTATCAGCTCAATTAGTTAACAGCAAGCCAGTCAATTTTTTACTCGGCTATTTTAGAGTTTTCCAAGTTTTTATCAGTATTATGATGATTTATTGAACATATTTTGGAACTCTGGCGTTTTCGGTTGCACTGTTTTTTTTCCATTCATGAGAAAGTGGAAGGGAGGATGAACATACGTTATGTTGTTTTTTAAGTTGTACTTACGTGGAAAGAATAAAAAATGGAATCGGCACAATTAGGTATACATTATACATACGGTACGAGAGAGACAAATGCTAAACAATCTTGGCATTGCAATCGCAAGCTCGTTGCTTACTAATGCACGTATGTATATGTTGCACCTATCAGTAAAAGTATACGTTTGGTAGTGGCGTAACGCTCTCGTATCGGCCTATAATCTATAATACTTCAACGAGAAGTTTCGACTTTTTTTGATGGTGTATGCTGTTATTTCGTCAAGTACGAAGATTGAAATTGAGCGTCATTCTTGGGAATCGCTGCGCTCCACCGATAAAACAACACCCTGCACACATAGTCCGCTCTGCATTCCGTTCCGAGTTCCACAACGTTTCGTCAGTTGTCACGTGATATTTTTAATTTTAAATCGAGTGTGATCTAACTCCAGAGAGCTTTTGGTATTCTAATTAAACAGAGAAACATAACTTACAGAGCCGAGGTCAACATGACAAACGATTTTTAACGATTACTTTAATTTAGAGACACATAACCTGACAATTGCTTATATGTATTCTACGAAAAAAAACCGTAAAAAATGCAAAATTATAATATGTATCGTATACAATTAGAAAGGTATATTCAAAATCCAAGTACAGTAAATTTATTATTATGACATTCAATTCACCACTCGTATTGGACAATATATGGCATTTAAATGATCAACATTGCACGGAGCACCGGGATAGCAGACAAAAATGACAGCTAGACAGTATACGACAGTAGCGCCGTGGACATATGCAAATTTGCGGATGCAGCTCGCATGCTGATATTGCAGATCGCCAGAGGAGAAAAATAATATAAGGAATACATCAGCTGATATTTTGCACTAACTCTTCACAACCTGTAGACTTTAGTTTGTCTCCGGATGATAAACGATTCGCAATCAATCGCTGCAACGTTGTCATGTTGTCAATATATCGTCGTGGAACGGTTCTGTTATTGTAAGGATTGGCCGCGCTTTGATGCCAACCGCTTGCGTCCAAAAGCTTGATCAGATAAGCCAACGCAGTTGAGAAAATAAAAGCATATCAAACCCCCGAGGGGTAATACATAAATTTATAAATAATCGTACTCGAGCGTGTGCATGTAAGAAGTAGGTATGCAGAGGTGTGGGTAGGGCAGTGTCGGAGTCAGCATAGCACGGGCTACTCGACGTAAATTGAGAATATCGTCGTCGACGTCGTCATCATGGCTAGCAACACCAGTACTAATAATGGAGGAGGATACAATTTCAAGGTCGTGCTACTGGGGGAGGGCTGCGTTGGCAAGACCTCAGTTGTGCTCAGATACGTCGAGGACAAGTTCAACGACAAGCATATCTCGACCCTTCAGGTGATTATTGTGGCTTTCCGCAGTGTGTACTCTGTTCGGTTTCTTTGCAGCTTTGTTTTTTCACTTTCATTTCTGCTTCTCGCATTTCATTTAGTATTTTTGCACTATCTTATTGTTGGCTGTTTTCTATAAATTTCATTTGACCAATTTTTTTTCATTAACAAAAACCATGAATCACAATGTTATTTGTTTTGTTAGAACTTGTGATATGAAAGCATTCAAGATATTTTTATTAATTACTTTTTCTTGTGATTAACTTTAACACTCAAACTTGAGTATACAGCTCTCAATATCTTCTTTAAGTTGTTAAAATCAATTTTAACTCTGGAATGCAGGCTTAATTTGACAAACAACAATGATTTATGAGTTGTAATTTTCCGTTCTTGTAGGCCTCGTTTTTCAATAAAAAGCTAAATATCAATGGAAAGAGAATAAATTTAGCAATATGGGATACAGCAGGTCAAGAAAAATTCCATGCACTTGGGCCTATTTATTATCGAATGTCCAATGGGGCTATTTTAGTTTATGATATCACAGATGAAGAAACTTTTAAAAAAGTAAGTGATGATGTTGTTGATTCATTTGTGTATTACAATGAATAAGAATAATTGATTATTTTGTAGTACGGTTTACGTGCTCTCTATTAATTCTACATAATTTAATTTTTTTTTTTTTTTAAGGTAAAAAATTGGGTAAAAGAATTGAGAAAAATGTTGGGAAGTGATATACGTCTGGTCATAGCAGGAAACAAAGTTGATCTTGAAAAAGAAAGGAATGTCACAGTAGAAGAAGCAGAAGAGTAAGTAAGCCTTAACAATCCCAGACAGAGAAACATACACATTTACTATTTCATGTGATTAAAATTATGCAACCCTGTAGTTGCCAACAACGTAGTCAATTATTGCATAAGAAAATATTTAGTCCAAATCTAGTTTCTTGCTTACTTTAAAGTATTTTTTACTAGCATAAATATTTATTTTTTTACATTAAAAATATAGAAATAGTTGCATCTCGTCAACTTACAATTTTTTTGATTGTGGATTCATTGAAGAAAAAAAATTTTATTTACAGGTATGCAAAACAAGTGGGTGCAGTACACTTTCATACGTCCGCTAAGCAAAACTTTAACATTGAAGAAATGTTCCTGGACCTGACGCAACGCATGATGCAACACGCTGATATTGTCGAACAAAAGTCAACTCTTATGAGAAACAATAGCACCCGGCGAAACGTCGTCGTCGTAGAAGATGAGTCTGCCGAACCAGCTCAGCCATCCAAAAGTGGCTGCTGCAGCGGTGGAGGCTCTTAGAATTCGTAAGAATGCTATGTTCTGGAGGCTCTTTCAGACGATTGATGCGAGAAATTTCACAAAGGTTGTAATGCTGTGTATTTAAGTTAAGGAATGCTGTGTTTTCCAGTCTGAAAGTGGCCATAACACTAAATACTAATTTTTCAAGGCACAATTTACTCACCCGTGTGCTATTAACATATACGTATTTACTTTGCTTTTTTACACGTAATCTACTAAAGTTACACATATTCGTTGATCAATACAGTTAATTCTCAACCTTTTTATTAAGTGATAAAGACAAGTTAAAAGAGCTTTTTGCCTGTAGATAAATGTAGATTATGTATATAGCGTTACAACCTTAACAACATAAGAAGATTATCGTTGGAAATCGTACTGTGGATCGTTAACTGTTTTTTGTATATAACTTTTAATTATCTTGCTAAAAATAATACGTGAGATTTCCAGCGCGAGTCAAAATTTTTTTACAATAGAATGCCGAAAGTGTTTTCATGAAATCTAGCTTAAAAAAAGACAGAATAAGCAAGTAGGTAGTAATATCGATTGTTATTATTGTATTTTAGTGGATGTAAAAAAATAATTGACTTGAATTGAATGAATATTTGAGACCAAATTAATGCGAGATGAAAACAAATTAAAAGACCTGAAAAATATTTTTTTTTCTACTTCAATAATGTTATTATACATGTTATTATTTTCATTCAGAGGAAAAAATTATATATTTGATTTATCATGGTTATATCTTCATACATTTTGTATGAAAGTAAAAATATTTCATTAAGTACATACATTTAACATTATATTCCATATGACTTTATTCAGCGAAGTATTATGGGTTAATAGATTAACAAAATTTTACTGCTGCTGCTGAATTATATATGCTTAGAAATAATGTTTGTCTCTGGAAAAATGAGTAAAGATTTTTTCACTGACTAATGATGGCGGGACTTTATATGCTATAAAAAAGATTCACAAAGTACGTATAGTAAACATTACGAAACATTGCGAAACAAGATAATAATTTCAGTATTTTAACGAAAAAAAAAAAAAAAAAAAAAACTTTCGTCACCTTTTTACATAACATATTACTTAGCTTGAAAACTTTCCAATTATACATTAAATGCATTTATTTTTATCTTAAAATTTTATACTTTTCTCTCGTGCAATAATGTCATTTAATAATAAAATAATAAGTTGTACATATATGTATAAATATATATTGTACTAATGGCTTGTCAAATGTATATATATATACAAACTACTATTGTATGCACGAGATAAATTAAAAAAATTTAGTTACTACTTTTATATCCAAGGAGTAAAAAAGTATCATAGGTTGAAATAATCAAATTCGGCTGTAATTAACAAATTATATACAGATAATATAATACATCATAATATATCTTGCTGAATTAATTTTTCTTCACGGCTTTAGTTGTACCAATTTGTATGTAATAAAATGCCCGTAAATATTAAATAATATAATACATCGATATAAATCAACTTCCAATCATTACTTTTGCAACTTTACTTTTTATAATAAATGTATTTTTACTGTTATAATGATGCTATGATTAAAATTTTTATATTGATACCTGAATTTCTAGGGATTGACGAAACTTATCAAACTATTTGCAATGTAGTTTTTATTACTTTTATTCTTACCTGTAATATAAAGAAAATAAAATTAAAAAAAAAAAATATTGCCGTATACACTATTATGTTCTGGAATAATAAACAACACATTGAATCGTTAATAACTTTTTCTGATTTATCACCATTCTCGTAGGTATAGGTAATTCGAGTGATACAGTATGCAGCTATCACAGGTATTATATCAGATTACTATAAAATTTATTTTCTTTATTATTATTCAAACTTACCTGCACAAAAAAATTATATCTTTCAAGAGTTGAAGAAATAAGTACGTTGTTAAAGAAATGTATGAATGTTAAACGATGATTTAATAATATTAACTATTTGAAACAATGTAAAAGTAATATAGTAATGCCCTGTGTTAATTTGGTTTTCCGGTAGTTATGTTGATAAATCATGCTAGTGGTAAATTTTTTCGTACAGGCAGTAAAAGTAAGAAACAGTAGATTTAATAAAAATTCTATATATTATGCTCACACACAATTATGTATTTAAAATGAGGAATGGCTATAGTGAATCTGGAAATGTAACTCGCAGATTGAATCGATTCACCTCCGTTAGCGAGTGCATACAAAAAAAATTTGTATTTAGGTGTCGATTTTTGTTGTGTTTCATATTGCGAATGTAGTATTTTTAAGAAACTGACAAATGCTGCTGGCGATCAAGTATCATCATAGGATGTCTACGATTTATTAAAATTCATGTTTGTAGAAGTCTGTTACTCGTGACTTGTGCTCGTACATTTCTTGACGTGATTCATACATGTACTTTCTTTGTTAATTAATTAATCAGTTTTAACGTCTTACCATCTATAATTTTTTTTTTTACATCGTTGAATTATATATACAAATTATTATTTATATTACAGAATGTTAATTAATCGAATTATTGATTAAACTGTAGTTTTACAGTTTCAATCCGGGTCTGGACTTGATAAAATTAATTAAGGCAATAGTATAACTTTAATACAAGAACGGAATGTTGTGTTTGTAACTGCAGCAGAAAAAAAAAAAAAAAAAAAATTCTTGATAAAAAATTCCAAAATAGATCAGTTATATTTTACTATTGCGATAGTAAAATCCTGGAGGAATCATCCATTATACTTATAATACCTATGAAGAATTAATTACACAGTTTGAATAATACTACTTTTTACATACAATCGCGTGACGTTTCATTATATCTTTGGTATGTGGTCGTAAATTTCATTCCATGTAAATATACAAACCTCCAAGACTCCATGATGTATTAAGCCTCAATTTATATTGTGAACTAGATGATTTCATTATATTAAACGACGATCGTGGCATCCTACATTGTGCACAATTAGTTTGTTTACAAAAGTTATTTCACTTTTATTTGCTCGTAAACGTTTCACTCTTTACGGCAAGTAGATAAAAATATCGTGTTAAAGCAAGCATTAGATCTGTTAAACGGAAACAGTTTAAAAATTAACAAACGTTATTACAAAATATAAACATCTAATACATCTTTTTTTTTTTCATCATTAGTAATCACGGGTGTAAGACATTTATAAATATAACAGTACCAACAATACACCACCCTTTCATTGAGGCGTCATCATTGTTGCGTAGTATAATGAAGGGTTTATTTTCATAAGATCACGATAGTCTTTTCTTGATCCGTGGTAACATTTAATTTTTCTGACCCAATCGTACTTTGCTAGGCAATTGAATTTAGTATACTGTAACGATTGAATTTTTTTTTTTTTTTTTCATCTTAATAACATAATTGAAAAATCTACTGTTAAGTAGATCAAATTGGTATAAGTTGTTAAAATTCCAAGAGTACGAGGTATCAAGAAAAGTCATCAGAGACCAGAAACTCTGTACAGAAGGCTCGTGTAAGAGCGCGCTTAGGCCCTTTCTTGTAGGCAATTCAACGAGAAATCCTTAAATTATAAATATTTTATCTTGGTCGGTGAACACGTAGTCGACGAATTGGTTGATCGGTCCGATCGCCGACAAGGACAAGCCCCGTGAAGGCGGCGCTCTCACGAGATTTGGACCAAAGACCACTGCGAGATTGCTGGACGTCATTTTGTTTAAATCACATCTGTCCATGACCTGTAAACATAGTAACACGAGTTGAGAAGATACTTGTAACACCGTTAGAATCGAGAACAACAATATTTACCCTGGATAAGAAATGGACGATGTATTTCAAGAGGTGATAATTGTCCTCCGGTAATTTTTCAAGAATCAGAATTTTGACCCGTCTTGGACGTTCATCTTTCGACAAAGCTGAAAATGACAAACATCGAAATACGTTAAAAACGCGTTAGTTTTTTTACTTATTAAACAATTTGGTAACAAAGAGCTATGATGAAATACTTTGAAATTGTGTGATTTCGTCATACAAGTCGTAAGTCATTAGCGGCTCCTCTAGTTCCCGAAGAAACGTCTTTAAGAGAACGGCAGCTATGTGCGCGTCGCCTTGAAAGTTGACAGGCAATCCTTGATTACACCTGCTCTGTAGCTCTTTAATAACAGCAACGTTGGCCGATCTTCTAAATATGCCTTCGGTCTCGAGTGCTAAATCAATAAGAATGTTTGTAAAAATATAAGACCAGCCAATACTCTTGAGCATTTCCATTCGGTTGAGGAAAAATAGAGCTCTGATTGGAAAAGAAAAAAAAAATGGGCCATCACGTACCGTCAGGAGTATCGAGAAACTCGACGCACTGCCGCACTATGGGCGGTATGGGATCTCCTCTGTTATTTTCCTTGATGAATTGAAGGCTCGCGCCAAACTGCGTCGTGCTAACTGGAGTCGCGACTGCACTCGACGGCGGACTCGTGGGCAGGTTTTTCTTATTCTTCAACATCAGGTGCTCGTCATGTCTGAGTGCACATAAAATATTTAATGTTAATATATCCGTGTAGGTGTAAGGAAAAAAAAAAAAAAAAGAAAAAAAGAAATCTTTGAAAAACTCACTCCAAGACTGGCGGTGGAATGATGAGCTGATCGAGATTGATGTAGTGCGCCAACTCGTCCAGGTAATTGACGTACATCATTTTCCGACCGAATTTAACGCTGAAACACCCCCAAAATTGATCATTTACAACACAATTTAGAAAAAAAAGGGGGCAGTTGAAAAATCCCGGCGCGCCAAGTAACGTTGCCTACTTAAATAACTCGATAAAACATTTACAGCATACTTGGCACACACGAGAAAGTGGAGTAAAACCTCGCTCTTTCTCGCTTCGCCGTGACCCCCAATGAATGTATAAATCATTACACACGTAACGACGAACCTTATGGCCGGCTTGAACAACTGCCAGACTATCCTGATGAAGTTGGTCGGGTGCACGAGGTAGAGGGCCTTGAGGTTCTTCTTGTACTTGCGGTCAAAGGCCTTGTAGGCCTGCCACAGCCAAGACAGGGGGGGCTTGTTCTTCGAGGTGAGCCCGTGGTGGAAGTAAACGAGACTGTAGTCCTGCTCGACGAAGGTGTCGAGGGTGTGGGTGAGGTAGCGCAGGAGCTTGGCGTGATTGAAGGCCTCCTTGCCCACCGGGGGCAGCTTGCACGCCGACACGACTATCACCTTCCGGCCGGCACTGTCGTCGCCCACCACCTCGACTATACCCAGCCGCGCTATGTCGTTGTAGTCCTCCTCGTCGGCCAACGGCTCCTTGTCCAACGCCGCCAGATCGTCGGCTATAAATTCACCCGATGGTAAGGTTTTTCTTTATCGTTGTCGATCAATTAACGCAACGTATAATGCATACGTACGGGTTTCGATGACGGGAGCGTCGACCAGGGCCTCCTCGAAGTTCTCCTCTATGGTGCCGTCGCTCACCGGGCTCTCCAGGTAACCGTCGATCCCCGAGCCTATCACTCCCACGGTCAAGTCTAGCTTCTCCTCCAGCAGCTCGACAGCTGAAATTTCGTCTGTTTACAAAATTTGGGTTATCTCATTTACACACACCGCACCACATAATATACTTGATTGTTTTATGGATGACAGACATTTTTACTTAACGTTGATAATGAAAAAAAGTAAAAAAAATGGAAGAATCGCGCGCGCGTGCCAACACGCATATAAGTACGGGAGACACTGCATAATATGCATGCACATATGGGCGCGTCGTATGGTCGAGAAGTTCCGCGCCGAGCCGCCCATCGCGTATATATATAATATTATATTGTTGTAACGCGTGCACACCGTATATACTTAATATAAAGCGCGAGAGCTAACGAGTATGCGATGGTACAGCATATATATATATATATATATATATTGTGCTCTCAAGCGATTTCATAAGGAAGAAGGAATGTGCGCGCATACAAGTGCGGAATGCGTATATGTGTAAATAAAAAAGAGGGGACGCACATGTGGTGGACGTGGCTTGCAATTCCGTATCGTCGAACTCCAAGTTTGGCTCGTAGTCGTGGAAATCCGACAAGCTCGGGTATGGATCCTCGCCTTCGTTGTTCACTGGAACATACAAAAATATGTTTCACGTGCGCCGTGGCGATTGACATTTCACGGTTGTGCGTTTTCGTGAATTGTAGAATAAGTGTAGCTGTGCAGGTTTTTTTGGAAGGGAGGCTTATTGTTTGGGGCTTTGGAAGCTCGAATCGGTACAAATCGCTCATGATGATATCGTGACGAACCTTCGTATACGAGAAAAAAAGAAAGGAAGAGGGTAGTACTCGCTTATACGTTTAAAACTCTAATTCGCCGAACAAATGTTCATTCGGGCGCAATCGGCACAGAGTGTTTACCATAAAAAGCATACGTCACTCGCTATACACCCAACGGAGTACATTTGTTGCATTTATGTATATTTATGTATCGTATAATATGTGTCTCACTCTGCAGGGCAGTCCTTATCGCCGAGCAATTGAGAAACAACCCGTGCAAAAAGTGAATCATCCTGACACTGTGGGGTGCAAACTGTGGGATCCATATATTAATTAATACAAACATATTATCGTACCAAACGCAGCAACCACATCAGCACAGCGCGTTTTTGTCCTTCACAACCGAACTCTTTGGGACCGTCGAAAAAAATCGGCAAGCGACGAAGATCCTCACCACAAACGGTCCCCACTCTCGCCGACAGTTTTTTTTGTCTCCACCAGCCCCTCGCGAACCCTCCGCTTCCACGAACCGGTATAAAAGTTTGTCAAGCGGAAGAGAGAGAGAGAGAAAAAATCACTTCGCGTTGCGGCGGCGGGGGGAAATCCGAAAGCGCGCTCGCGAAAAGTACACCTATACCACTACAAAAAAAAGCGCGACATCGCTTCATTATATCGTACAGGTTTAGGTGCTAGTGAGTATATCATTGTGCATGATATGTACAAGATCGCGTGATATGCGTGGGCCCCGTGCTTCTGCCCAAGTAATGCACGCGTGAGCAAGGATGGAGGAGGGGTGGGGTGGAAATCGGCACGCACCTTGTCTTTTTCACACTCCGTGAGCCGTACAAGTTCGTAAGTATTGTACAACGACCAAAGGGGAAGGAAAACGGAGCACCGGCAGTGGTGATTGATTGTGACCGATCGACCGCCCGGTCGATCGATGATTGTGACGAGAGGTCGAGGAAAGAGGGAGAGACGGTCCGAGGCTCGCATTTTAAGCGAGGGGCGTGTGCGCGCACGTAAACTTTGCATGCGTGGGGTGAGACAGGCATAATATTATACGCATGCACGCAGCGAAAAAGAAAAAAAGAAAAAAAGAAAAAAAGAATCGCACTTGCCGATCACTCGCTCGCATGTATATAGGTATACCTATAAGCTTCGGCAGCTCACTGTTTTGCCTTCCGGTTGGACACTTTTTGTTGCGTGCATGCACGTTGGTGTATTATAATACGCGTGTGTAGTTCGTACGGGGAGCGTAGGAGGAGGCGATCGGCACGTTCGTCAGTTCCTTCCCGATACGTGGGCGTAATGTGGTATGTACGTACATGTGTATGTGCTTAAGAAAGAAAGGGGGAAAAACTGAGGTACTCTGCCTTATTTGCGCTTGTATGTCCGTTTGTTCTTGGGATGCTCGTGAAAAATTTAACTGATTCTATACACATTTACATCCACGGGGACAGTACACGGGAACAGCGAATAATTGAATGATTCAAGGATTTTATTTTCTTCGATTCGGTATATTTTGCATATACTTACTCGTTTTGGGCAAATAACTCTTCGCGAGACCATTTGTTGTGTGTTGTCGCGATTGCGTTTCACTTTCGTTTGCCGGCACGTACATAGAGTGCGTCTGAAAATCGGAGCTTTACCCAAAAACCGGTTTAGATTTAGTGCGGCAACTTTTTTTCTCTCTTTTTTTTTTTTGATCGAGTATGGCCGGCTAAGTAGGATAGATCGGTATGCTGCTCCTATATACACAACACACGCAACTGTTGGATTTTAAATTTTATTCGAGAACTCTTTGGCACGGGCTAACTTTTTTTTTTTTTTGAGAGACAACTTTATATGTACAAATAACGTACGCAATTTTCAAGGCGATAAGTAAACGCTACCGAGATTGTAGATAAAAAGAGCCAAATGTGAAATCGAAGGAGGCGTGTTTCGAGCTCACGTATTTTTTTTTTCTTTCTTCGACTCCGTACATGTGTAAGACATAAATATTAGACACCCTCGTTGCGCACGGTGTAAACAACACTTTCGAATTATTCGTGGCATGAAAATGATACACCTATTTACAACGGGATGATATGGAAAAAAAAAAAAAAAAAAAGTACTGATCCAAACGCTTATGATTACTCACTGCCCATTTAGGTATTAGGTGTACGGATCGGAGGTGAGTCACGATACTACAATCAAACGGGAAGTCACAACTCCTTGTTATGTTAAAAAAAAAAAAAAAACGAATCATTATCACGATTATAGGTATGTATATATCCTGTATTACATTGTATCGTTTTACGCTTCGCTGCGATTACCACGTGTGTATACAAATATTTAACTTGGATAATCGCATTTAAGATTACGTGCATGTCCGATGACTCGAGGAGTTTTATGGAAATTCTAGCAGCGAAAAAACGGCCGATAAACGAAAATAAACGACCCGATGTTAATTTTCTCAGGTGCAAGGTTCGTTAGCCAAGCAAAAGGGAAAAGATGTGTTTATAAAAGTACGCAATCATCGGAAAGTAATTCGCCCAAGGCGTAATATTATACAATTCTCGGATCTATATATAGCTATGTTTTCACCTGCGTGTACGTGTACGTGTACTTTTTGTCGGTAATGTGCTCATAATGCGCAGAGAAAGAGAGAGAGAGAGGCCGAGCGATTAAAATTGATTTTCGCGTTAAACACATATAACATGTAGGTTGTATATTATATACCTGAGATTAGGCGTTAAGTATAGTGGCCCGGAAATATACATATAGATAGATATACTACTGGTACCTATATATTGTTTCGAAAGCGGCGCAATAATTGACGAGGGGAGTATATTACGGCTCTCGAAATCCGCAGACACGAAAGCAATAAAAATATTACTACTATTCTTTTTGTACATTTGGTTTCTCGGTTCTCGCGTTTGCGATTATCGCGATTACCATAAAAGTGGCTGGGAAACTTTTGGAAATTTCCCTATTCTTTTGTCTTTGGTAGCGTGTACTCCTTTTCTCTCTCGCGCTTCAATCAAACGTCAATTATTAATTGGAATCTCGCCTGTAGAGTTGATGTGTACATCGGTGGTGTTAAACATTTTTCTTCTGTTGTAATGCGCTGATTATAATAAAAAAAAAAAAAAATCACTTACATTAAAGGCTGATGCAATTATATTGTAAAGTAGTGGGTGATCACCAGAGAAAGGAGATAAGTTGAGCATAAATCACCTATAGGCATGTGTATATCGTGATTTCTCTCTGCTGGAGATTATCATAAATTATTACAAAACTAGTCTCAGATAATTTTTTTTTTTTTTTTTTTTTTTTTTTTATTCTCATTGTGTAGTACTCACTACCAATGCAATCGAGAGTTGTGTATGCAAATTGAATTCTTTCCCTGCAGCCGTACGCGTTGCATGATCAAACTTTTGAGCGCAACATTAATAATTATATTCTCCGAATTCAATGTAACTTTCACGTTTTATTTGAAATTCCAGATAGTCTAATTAAATACAAGTACTTCCGTGTTTTGAAAATGCGGCAAACAGTTTGTAATGTATGGTTTCTTGAAAAAAACAAAAAAAATTGTAACTCAAGAGAAAATGTTACGTCACAGAACAGAAGTTTACACAAATTATTAAATCACTTCATTGGCACATACGCGTTACTCGACACATGCGAGTGTCTATACGTAAATAAATAAATCGATATGCCTAGGTAATTCAATGTGTAAAGTATAAAGGAAAATCATAAAAGTACTATGTTGTCTAGGTTACTGGGCCATCTCCTTCAATTTTTCATCTCACACGCGCTTAAGTGCAACCGAGTATTGCGCTACATCTCCGTACGTTTAAATATTTAATTCAAGCCACGATTTTTTTTCTCTCTCTCTCTGCCACCCGAAATAGCCTTTTAATCGTATGTCCGAGAATTTGTAGAAAAAAACAGCCAATAACTGCGAAATCAGCAAAAAAAAAAAAAAAAAAAAAAAGACTCGTACGCTGCAGCATCATCACATCTCCGGACGCACATCTACACGACACTTGAATATTCAAACAAGCCTGCCTATGCATATACTGCCGTTCGTTTATCTCACACAAGCACATATATATTATTACACACACTCGCCTCTTTCCAACAAACAATTGTCCATTAAGCGTTACAAACACACCACACGTGCGATACCTACATGCTCTGATGTGAGTAAGGGTACACGGGGTTTTTTTAATCACTCGTGTGTGGAGCTTTTAGCAAACCAGCTGTTATTACATCGCTTGGAACAGATGAGTCCCGCGAAACAAGTGATTATGTATGTATATCTACTCTCGTTCTGCGAATCGTCTTGCTCCGAAATGATCTAGCGCACCCATACCGTCCACACCTTGTGTATAATGTGGATGTATGTGTATATATATATGGCTGTAACAGCTGAGCTTCCGACACGGACAAAAAAAAAAAAAGATCACGCTCGAGCGCGATGTCAACGAAAAAACCATCAAGGAAAAAAAAAAACGACACGAAAGAAAGCGAGAACTCCAAGACTGATTGCCGAAATGCATGCGAGCTCTCGGAGCATGAAAAATATATAGGTGAGCGTGGCCTAAGTACCTATACTTATATTTAGGCCACGAAAAAGGAACGAGGATCGGATATTACATTGTATTGGGCTCGCCTGTCAATTTGTATACGTAGGTGTGTACATATATATATATATATATATATATATATATATATATGTATACTGTACCTACGCACACTCTTGTACCTACCTGTCAAAACTTTCGCGGGACTGAGCGTAGGTTGGTAGTCGGCTTCCATTTCTCAAAAGGAGTGCCCAGGCTCTTACTTCCTTCCGATCCTCTTGGGTAATGTATTTACTCCCTCTGTATCCTTTGGGTGTAATTCCTTTTGCATTTGTCCGTCCAAAATATAGATAAGATATCCGCGGGATGAGTACACGCGCGTACACGCACACAATCTTTTTATATAAACACACACACGCGCGCGCACAATCACTAAAAGTAAACAATAGAGGAGTAGCAGAAGCAAATAGCTCACACTCCCGGTGAAGCAGCAGCTGCTGATGATGGTGCTGCAGGACACTCTTCGTTTTCGTTGTTGTTGTTGTTGTTGTTCTGCGTAACTGAAGAATACGACAACGACAACGGCACCGTCATGATTGCGTGCACACGGGCGCCGTCGTGCTCCCCCGTTTTATTTTCTTGGATTATATATGATACGGTGTTAAAAACATATATAATTATGATAAAATAAAAAAAAAACCGCACCAATGCCCTTTCCTGTACGTTATTGTTTGATTATAGGATAACGACCGTGGTGTTGTTCATAGGGCGTACTTCCGTAGGATAGGTATACGTATAGACGTACGACGACGACGACGACACCCTCGTAGGATGTTTTATTACTTACAAGACGACGTGCGACAGTGATAATAATTCACCAACCAACAGGGGCCTGTGTTGGCCTGGTGTCAGTTGTGTCACCCACCGACACAGTCGAACAGTAGTAGGTATTATATATATATAGGTATTTATTGAAACACTCCGATTTCCGATAAGAGCCAAGTTAGTATGTATAGGAGGGATCAGTATCAGTAGTCAACTCCCTTTTTCTTACGCAGCTATTGTACGTGCAACGTACAACGAACTACTGTCGTCGACTCGATCCTACATAAAAGAAAACTACAGACTCCCGCGACGATGTCGAGACGACTATAATCAGAGATATGCTTTTACAACCCGCGGTGTTATATGCAAATGCAACTGCAGTGGGTACGCTTTGTACAACATACTTACGACGCGGGACGCGGGGGCCCCACTATGTGGGTGCGTGAGTGTATATATGGAAACGGAATCGGAGTCAGTCGACTACTGGACTACTGGAGAATCGGAGCCGAGTCAACCGGCTGTGGCTTTAACTGAAAAGATCAATGCTCGTGTGCGTGTATATCTGTGGGTATATACATGTATAGTCGTATATACGAATGATAAACGGTAGCGCGCAAGAGTTGGCGAGCTTCGATTCGTTGTTCGCGGTGAACTTCGCGCAGCTGCTATTTTTGGAAGAAAGACCGCGGTGACAGTCAACCATTCGAGTCACGGTACGTTTCGTTTGATATCCGTACTTTAACGTTATATTTTTAATGTTTTGCTGTTGATTTGAGCCTTCATGATTTGAAAACGATGTCATAGAAAAGTAAATGAACGATTTGATTGTGTAAACAGCAGGTTTCAATACCAAGTGGCTTGTGAAAATAGGATGTTGGCGTGTCAGTTTGAAGTTTGCCGGATGAATAAAAATTTATTGATGTCAGACGCAAGCCGCAACAACACCACCACCACCCCCCCACTATCAACAGCAACGACAGCAGACGGTGTAGCTCAAATTTACTGATAAGGCTTATAACACAAGTAATCAATCATCCATGTTTTAAAGAAAAAAAATTTACATAGGTAGACACGTTTATATTTTTCTGCAAATAACAATCGTATATTTCTCGAACCGTAAATCGACCTTCAAGAATATCTCATCTTGAGTCAATATATTGTTCAAACGAAATTTACATACACTTACAAACTTTGGAAATACCACTTTTTATAAAGAAATTCTTAATAACATAGTGACACGCTGTACCTTATTGTGTGTTATCACACGCGAGTCAGCATTTACGTAAGACAATGTGATAGGAAATCGTTAATTTGGAAGTATCAGGACGTTAAAACAAAAAAGCGAATTAATTTCAAAATGAGGTTATACATTTGTATTTTCTAAAGTATAAAAAACAAATGTACGTGTTAGGATAGTAATTCGTAATTATCCGTAAGATGTGAACAAAAATCTCTCAGAGTTAATTTTTCTTCGAAAGAAGGCAAATCGATACTTACATCTGGGCGTAGATACGTTATCGCTCGTCTTCACGTTAAAAGAAAGCTGTGATTACATGGGAGACGTCTGAGATTGGACTGAAATATTATTATACGGTTCAACGATGTCTTTCTTAAAAAATGTTATTTATTGGTTGCTCGAGGTGGCTGCATTTTTTGCGACATGTTACCTATTTCTCTTGTGTCTCTATCCGCTGATGATTCTGATGGTTGTGAAATTGTTGATTACAAAGAGGCATGAGCCAGAGAAGAAGGACAAAAACGAGGTGACATTAGGAATTTTTCATCCCTACTGCAATGCCGGTGCTGGAGGTGAGAGGGTTCTCTGGGCTGTTGTCAAAGCACTCCAGACTAACTATGATAATGTACACATTTTTATTTATACTGGGGATGTGGAGCACGACAGGGAGAAAATTATTAGTAATGTTGAAAAAGTTTTTGACTTCAAGCTGAAAAAGGACAATATTAGCATTGTTTATTTGCATAGGAGAAAATGGGTGGAGGCAAAGATGTATCCGGTTTGCACTTTGCTTGGACAGGCCATAGGATCGATCTGGCTTGGCATGGAGGCTCTAGCACTTTTCAAGCCTGATGTTTACATTGATACCATGGGCTATGCATTTACCTATCCGCTGTTTAAGTACGTCGGAGGCTGCAAAGTTGCATCCTATACTCATTATCCCATGATTTCCACGGACATGCTAAGCCTGGTGTCTCAAAGGTCAACTACTTACAACAACAGACATCTTATTGCGAGAAATTCAATTCTTACCCACTTGAAGCTTGGATATTACAGAGGAATTGCTTTTTTGTATGGACTAGCTGGCAAGACTGCTGATATTGTTATGGTTAATTCTTCGTGGACCAAGGATCATATTAACTCCATTTGGAAGTGCCCTCAAAGGACTCACCTTTTGTACCCACCCTGCGATGTAGAAAAGCTTGTACAGTTACCTCTTATAAGCGATGAAACAAAGAGTAAGGAAATTCGACTTGTTTCTGTTAGTCAATTTAGACCAGAGAAAAATCATGCTCTTATGATAGAGGTGATGAATAAAATAAAATCTTCAATCAATGAAGAAACTTGGCCAAAAGTGCATTTGATACTGGTAGGTTCTTGTCGCAATGAAGATGATGAATCATATGTACGAAAGTTAAAAGATTTAGTTACATTATTAAATATAAAAGACAACGTCCAATTTAAAATGAACATTCCGTATGATCAGCTAATTTCCGAAATGCAGCAAGGCACCATTGGTATTCACGCCATGTGGAATGAACACTTTGGAATAAGTGTTGTCGATGCTTTGGCTGCTGGACTCATTATGGTAGCCCATGCCTCTGGAGGACCAAAAGCTGATATCATTGATACAAGAGATAAAACAAGAAACGGTTACTTAGCCAAAGAAGTGGATAAGTATGCTAAAACAATAGTTTCCATTATAAACATGAGTACTGAAGAGAAAAATAGAATCAGGAGTGCTGCTAGAAAATCTGTTGAAAGATTCTCAACCAAAGGCTTTGAGCAGGAGTTTACAAAAATTGTAGAATCACTTTTCAAGTTGAAGCAAAGATAGTGCATTTCTGATAAAGTCTATATTAAAATAAATTGAATTTATAAATAAATTTTATACATCTTAAATGTTCACATAGTTGATATTATTTTTGAGCAGAAAATAAAAACAAAAATTCTTATGCAAATTTTTTTATTTCAACCTTATAAAAATATATTTCAATCATTCCTTTAAAAAATATTTTTCTTTTAATTGAGCATTAAATGCTTTATAAATTTTTATGAAACTTCAACTAGTTAATAACAATTAACATTGTTAAAATATTACAATAAAACATCATCTTTACAGTTCCTAATATCACGTAAGGTTTAGTATACACCATTTTTTACCGGGTCGTTTAAATTTGTCCTCTATAAGCTGGTATTACATACTCGTCCGTCAAACTTTGTTGCACCCTTGGAAGTTGTGAAACTTTCAAATTTTCCAAACTTGTTTTTCCTCTACGTGAACTTACACGTTTAGTGACCTGTTTGGTCCACTCCTGAATTTCAATGGGAGCGTGTTCTTTTATTACATTACAGATGTCCTGTATGAACCACGTACCTGAAATATTAACAAAAAATTTTTTATTTTTAAATTTTATCATTTTCTCAAGTATTTCAAAAGTCAATTTTACCCCTCTCTTCATCTCTCCAAGCTGAAAAATCAACTATCGTTGCTTGAAATAATAGAAAATGATTGTGATAAATAGGACTTTGAGATGGACCATCTGGAACAAGTCCTGCAGATTCATGAGTATTTTCGATGCTATCTATTATACCTATAAAATTAAATTTGTCTTAATTATTATGTAATCAAACTTTTATTTTGTTGCTTGGATTTGATTTTTACCCAATTGTTTGCCTTGACATGCTTGTAGTATAACGCATTTTAACATGTTCTTGAAATTTTTACAGCACAACTTTTCTTCTATAGTTTTGATCAAAACAACTTTGTTGTCCGAAAAAAGCACCTCACCTAAAATTCATATTATTAGTAATAATACTGCTTGTCTTGATTTCTGTTTTTTTTCAACTTATGGTACCTTCATATCCGTGACTTAATATGCACATAAAAATGCAACCATAATCTTCACTTATGGACTCATTCAAATGATCGAATAGGTCCATCATTTCCTCTTTTGTTAAATCATGAAATGATTCAACTTCAAAGCCACATCCCTCGAATGTGTCCTTTAAATTTTCAGAATCTTTTAGAGAACCAATTCTGGGTTTCCCCTGTTTAAAAATGTTTTTAGTATTTTGTACAATTGCAACACTTAAAGCAAGTGTAAAATTAAACCTTCAATTTCCCCTCATTAAAATTGGTGATGTTGATGATGACACAAAATCTTTTGTGATCCTCATTCCATTTTGAATTTTTTTTAGAGGACGGGCTGTTTCGAATCTGTACAGAGTTAGTACTATCAGATTTTTGATTAGTCCACCCACAGCTATTTTTACTAGTTGGTATTTCCCATGATTCAAAATTTAAATCAGTTCTCAAGTTACACAGACATCCTGTGATCTTGAGGTTTTCAATAAAATTCTCCATTTTTGGATTCTCTGAAATCATACAAATCAAGACATGTACATTATTTTTGTTTTCAGAAAAACAGTGTGGTATGGCAGTCTTGGGGTTTACTTTCATCAATTGTAAAGTACTGTTTTTCAAGCCAGTGGAGCATGTAAAGCTCCAAACATGCGCTCTCCTTTTCTATTTTTATAGGCACAGATTCATCAATTTTTTTTATTAATTTTGTTGTTTCACTTTTTGTTAGTTCATTGCACAAAAAATATAAACTTTTTATCACACGATTCAACCTGTGGGAAACATTGTGTATGGCTACACTAAACTCTTTTTCCATTGCATCAATTTCTGTTTTATTGAATCCTAATTTCAGTAAAATATTGATGCTTCCTGTAATTAACAGGATCTCTAATAATTTTTCCATCCAGTCCCTTTCTCTGTGCAACCCAAGAAATACCGCACAAGCATCCTTATTCAGTAATTGTATGGTTTTCGAGACGTTCGTCTCCATAGTTGTAAATAAAAAAATTATAGAAATGATTTCGTCATCTTCTAAATCGTTCACTATTTGATGTAATTGTTCTTTCCGAATTCTATCTTGAAAACAATATCTTTTTAATGCTTGTGGTGGCGATGCCACAGCATCATCAGCTAAAGCCATGGTTCCTCTCGAGTAATTTGTAAACCATCTAAAAATAATGCAACTAGTTGATTTTTTATCGTTAGTCTGAAGAAAATTTCGAAAAATGTTTACCCAGCTTACACAAATTTAATATTTCAACACATTCTAATGCATCATATTTGTTTACTAATCTACAGGTTATAGATTAATGTTTCCTCGTTTGCACATTCTTTACAGGTACTTTGTTTCCATTTTTACTTTCCAGATTTGTATAATAATATGCATGAAACGAACACTATTACAACATAAATTAAATTTAAATAACAAAAAAATCACCCAGTCACTTAGAAACTACATATCCTAATGATTTTGAATGGAGGATGGAGCTGTTTATACTGTGTATTACCCAGTGTAATCTGCATCTGATATATGAACTGTACCTATACATACACGTCATTATCAGTAATCAGCTAGTGCATGGGATTTTTTCTAGAATTGTCTAGATATTTGCGGCATATGCACTTACGTATAGGTATATAACCATCCTGCAAAATTATGATAAAGGATCTAAAATAGCTAACAATACTGATAATGTAAGGAGCTAAAATAAAAAATAAAATTTTTTTCAAGCACCGATTGTTTTAATTATCAAAATTAATTTTTTATCAAAATAATTCATGTATAATATACCTAAGCATGTAAAATTTTTTTTTCAAACAGGAAAGGGAGAAAAACATGCAACCGAATATATTTTCATAGAAAAGCATTTATTAAAATTAGCTCAGTGGTAGGCAACATAAATAAAACGTTTGGCTATCATCGACAGTTACATTTAGTCACACTTGAATTATACAGATTTTACAATTATATTGTGACTGTACTTTCACCGTCAATTATGTACATTATCAAATAGAGATTTTTTTTACGTGTCTCTCTATAATCGATACAAATCATTTATAAATAATATTTACATATGTGTGAGCACACATTTTCCATTTTATTTTCATACAATCAATCGAAATCAGAATCGTATTACGTATTACACATTGACCTAACATTGATTATAACTTGTTAAATATTATTTAGAGCTTCCGTTGAAACGATTTTTTTTTTTTTTTTCATTGGACTGAACATATTTGATTCTTACAATCCCACGAAAAAAATACAAGAATGAATTATCGTGACTTTCATTCTTTCGACTAGGTGTTTAATTAACTATATAAATTACATTATATCACGAGACGACGGGATACATCGTTCGTTGTAAAACGAGAACAATCGATCCGTTGATGATTCATATTTTAATTTCATGTATTATTTATTTCCACTTGGTTACAGCGCCTTCAAAATAATGTTAAAAAATAAATTGACAATTTATTAAACTAGTTATTTAATAACAGTTATTAGCACTTTTAGCCATGATAATTGATTTGAGTTCACTTATTGGTAGGCGTATCGGACTCACGGTTGAATTTTCGGATTATCACTGCTTAGTTTTTCAAAAGTAATTCTATTATTCATAGACCGAAATAAATGGCAGCGTATATTTCATTGGTTTTATTTCATTTGAAGAATTTTGTCAAAACTAAAGAGAAACTTGGCATAGTGTTATTCGTGGTGAAAGTGTCGAAGGTCTTAATTTCTCGTGATTAAAATTATTGAAATATTAAAATAGTTTCGTTTTAATTTTTTTTCAATTTACCTTTATAAAAATTGTTGCATACATTTTTAAATCAAATCCACTTGTGTTTCACGCATTTCAATTTATTAAACCAAAGCTTCTCTTGGATTCTCCACGAATAAATTCATTTTTTCCTTCTAACTTTACATGATTTATTTTTTTTATGTATTTTTCTAACAATAATTATCAATTCATCATATTTTCTGAAGTAGTTATCATTCAGGTAAAAAATGACTTTACAGTGACTTACATCTTAATTACACTTCTACAACAATCAATATCTCGATATCTATGTTATTCTCAAAATAACTCTACCAGTCTCTTTTCTTTAGCAAACATAAAAAATATACTTTTTTCGCTCTCTTTTTCTACTCAAATCACCTCTAGCTGAATATACATTATTCCTCATTTTTTACATTGATCATAAAAAATATGGTTTTTCTCTCCCTAAACTTTTTTCGCTTCATACCCTAAAAAACCGCATTATGGTGTACAATGATTGTATAGAATAGGTTTTAACGGCCGTAATAAAATTCTACTCCATCTCAAGAGTATATCCCTTTGATTTTCATTATCAACGTCTTCAGTGTTATTATTCACTAAAATAGTACCATTTGTGTTCGGCGTGACTCCCGAAAACGCATACATTGATTCATCATTGAAACTTAAAGTTACGAACGTTAAAAAATTCGATTATTGAATAGACCAGTACTCAATAAAAAAAAAATAAAAAAAAGTTCCTCACCTTACACATACGTATTGCAAAACAAAAAAAAAAGAACAATCATTTGCGTATAAAAAAAATTACTACGCGCAAAACCATCCTCCTTTTTTTCTCTTGGACGAAAAAACAATAATTGAAATAAAAAAGCTCGCCAAAAGGATGAGTTGCGTATTGCATATGTTTTTCTTCTCACTTGCAGTCTCTCTTTTGTTAATTATGATAATTATTCAGGCTCGTAAAGTCGCAGCAGCGAAGTCGCGCTAATCTTGTTGGCCAATACTGCTTGGTATACTAGACGGAATACTTTGGGCCGCGTTTGTTCACAGGCGTCAACCTCAGGCCCTTAGACAGCATTTGAGCCTCAATGTCTTTGTCCTCGTCTTGATATCTGAAATGATATTATATGGAAGTTAGATTTTTTTCAGCCCAATATTGTTGAAAGCAAAAATACAATTGGATATTTTGCGTGCAAAAAAATAATTAACAGAGCAGTTAATTCAACGTTCCATTGCATTTAATGGCACAAAATAAAGCACAAATCGGACAAACAAGTTTGAAGCATGCAATGTGAACTTCGACAAAACATAAAACATTCAAAGATGAAAAATAAATAAATATACTTTTTTTGACTGCCTTTACGTTATAGTGCATTTGTTGAAGATTAATATTTTTCAATAAAAACTGTTGATATGAGTTTACGTTTGATTTTCACTTATAGCTTTTGCAGATTATTTATTGCTTAACGATAAGCTCCGGCTTACCAGTGACTGTGCGGATGTGCAAAAGTAAGCGAAGCCGTGCGTATTCCCTCTCTTTCTAATACCCTCTGCCCGTAATGTCTATTTTTTTTTGCTCACGTTATCGTGAATAATTATTCTCCACACTTTTAGACATTGACACATGTTATGTATGTTTTTGATGATTGGAAGGTATTGATATAGTTATGAAATAACATTAAGCAGATGTATTATGCGAGCCTCCACGATTATTTAGATACTTTTATTTCTATCTCGTTTTTTACTCTATCAAGTAAAGTGAACCTAATAGAAAAAAAAAAAAATAAAATACATACATGTGTATAAAAATAAATACGTGTTATTTATTAAATATCGAATTAGTTTCCGCGAACTTGTCTTACATTTTCAAATCAAGCAATAAAATGTGTGTTTTATGTATAAAAAAAAAAAAAGTACATAATAAATATATTTGAGTTGTAGTTATTTCGCGATCGAAGTTATCGTAGCTTTTACGAAATTTTTTTCACTCAATTTTAAGTAGTAAACGTAATGGTATATACTCGTACCTTACATTCTTGCAATATATAAATCTCGTACTTGACGTAAATTGTGCATTCATCATTGCAATTATTTTAAAAGTGTAAGAAAGTCGAGTTTCGTAAAAATCTAGTATGCACTTTCACGTAAAAACATGCGAACAAAGTCCATTGCCAAGGAGTTGTGGGTCATTTCTCATAATATAAAAATTCAAATTAAAAAAAATTTGTAAACAAGACTAAAAACGATCCTAATAATAAAACTTTTATAAAAAATACACTAAAGCAACATAAAGAGAAAAAAAATATTAAGCCATGCATGAGTTTCAAACACGTCTTGGATAGTGATGTAAAAAAAAAAAGAAATTGTTTGAATACCGATGTAAAAAAAAAAGAAAAAAAAAAAGTACTTTACATCACCACCAGCGCATAATAGACATCACACGAAGAAGGAAAAAAAGATAGATTTGTGAGGTGAAATAAAAAATTCGGTCAAGTAATAGGACAGGGTGTAGGCAAAGAAAATCGCCAGGATGATGCAGGTGTAGGACAGATTGGGATCGGTAATGTTGTTAAAGTCGGCGCCAACGAGCGCGGACCCAACTAGTGTCGTAGGGCAGGAGGGTCTACGCCACCTTTGTCGCTCCTCCTCCAGGAGAGCTATCAGAGAGTCCCGTTTAGCCACAATCTCTAACATTTCCGTAAGGATCTCTCCCTCCTTTTGCACGTCGGCGCTAGTTTTCTTCTCATCTGGGGGAGCAAAAATCAAGACAAGCGTTAAAAAAAAAGAAAAAAAAATACATCCTCTCTGTTATATCGGGAATACATCGTTGGGGTGACGATGTATCGTAATACTGACCGTCGTCAGCTAGTCTCTCGCGCAGCTCTTGCTGCAACCGATCGTGCCGATCTTCGAGCTGCACCTCCTGGGCGCGTACCAACAGTTCCTTCTCGTACCTACGAAGCTCCGTCCTCTCCCGCATCAAATCGAACCACTCGCGCAACAGATCGGCCTCTTCCCGATCGGAACACTCTGACATGCAACAGATATGCAATCGTTTACACCACCGCTCGCCCCAAAAAAAAAAAAAAAAAATCGGCAATGACCCCCTTCGTACCTCCTTCTCCTCTCAGAGCCTTTTCGACGCTGACCCCCCGACTCTCGAGCTCCCGCTGCTTCACCTCCGTCTCCTCGAGTTTCCTCTGAATCTCCTGGGCCATCCTGAGCCTCTTCAGCTGCGCTTGTCTTGCCACGCGCTTCGCCGTTCTTACTCTCCGCGGGATGCTATTCGTCGAGCCCTCGGCCGTGCTGGACACTCTGTTCAGCTGAGAGATCGACAGCGCTTGGGTTTTCGAGTCCTCGTCCGACAAGCTGTCGTCTGTTTGGAAAACCATGCCATTGGATCAATGTTTCATCGGTTCTAAGTAGTTGGGAAAGGAAAAATGTAGTTTTCTCACCGGAAACGTGGGCGGGCATCGTGTAGTTGATGGGCGGTGGTGGCACCGGCGGTGGACTCTCGATGAAGAAACTACCGAGCATACCCTCGCACACGCTCTTGGGCCTCTTGTCGAGCTGTGCGTTGTTGGCCTTGTCGAGCTGCAAATCATCATCGCGCAAAATTAATTTTTTGGTGATTTGCGTGCCCGTTTCACAGTAACAAACGGCTCTAATTTATTTTTCACTGCAAAAGTTCACTCGCTTTCGATGCATTAACGGGGGGTTGTTGTTACATTTTGTTTACGACTAAGGAATAAACACTCGTCTACATTATTGTACATTGGATAAAAAAGCTCTACGACTATTTACGCATGGTATTTCAACATTTTTATTTTACACAGGGGAGGTGTGGTGAAATGTATATTTTTCAACACGTGTACGTAAGGTTTTGTAGTGAAAAACGCCGTGCAAAGTTTGAACAATTGTTAGAGAATAGTGTCAAAAACAAATACCAATACCTATACACGTACAAAATTTTATTAAAACGGTATTGAAAAATTTCTTGTTGTATGGGCAATCGGTCATGCAATGTTAAAATGCTTGATAAATCAAATTTGTAAAGACATCTACTACGCACAGGTACATTGTTGAGCACACATAAAACGGGGAAACAAAAAAATTTTCATAAAAAGCATCAAATTAAAATCAAAGCATCAACGTAAGGTTGAACTAAACAAAATAAGCATTGTTAGTTTTTTTCGTCGTGTGATTTGCATTGTTGATAAAAATTGTAATCGCATATACAATATTTGTGTTGTACCGTGATTACGTGAAAGAAAGAAAAAATATTAATAAGCGCTTAGCGTTTTAATGTTGCATTTGCTTGCAAAAAACAACATAAAACGTTGTTCAAAGTAGATATATTTCATGAAAAAAAAATACAAATTGCCTGTGTTCGCATCATGTATGTATAATGTACATACACATGTGTAAATTGGTTGAGTGCAATATTGTAATTGGTTACACACGACAAAAACGAAATGCTTGAACTAAAAAAAAATACCTGCAAGTCAAACAATAGCTAATCGAAGTTTACTGGAGCAAACATAGGTAAAGTTTTTTTGCTTTTTTGTTTTGTTTTGTTTTTTTTTTGTTTTTGCAACGACTACGTATTTATAAATTGCTTACATCTGACCCATCCGAATACGATTTAAACAACTGAAACAACGTTAAAAAAAAATAATAAGTTTTAATAAAAACGTAACATACAGCTCGATTGGAGAAAAAAAAAATTCTCACCAACTCCATACAGCCACCTGCAGTGAGTGTAGGAGTGAAAAGAAAAAAAAAAAAAAACAACAACAACGGCAAACGCACCTTTCCCTTCTCCTTAGACTTGGGAGTTAGCCGGAACATAGAGAGCTTGCCGTGGTCTTTCGGCGGCGACAGCGAGTCCTTTCGCTTGAAAAAGTCCGACACTGCCTGGATGATGCTCTTGCGTCTCTCCGGATCCTTGGACGATTTTTTGGACTTGTCGCGCTTAACCACCAACCCGTCCTCGTCCCTCGTTGGGGACTCGGCCGACAGCAGCTCGTCCAAACTCTTGGCCGTCGTCTCCTGGCCTCGCCTCGCCATCGCCTTCACGTTGTCCGTGCTCTTGCTCGTCTGCAGCTGGTGGTGCCTGCCAATGGGCGTCGACGTGTACTTGCCGTACAGACCAAAGCTGTACCTGTTGGCCGCCGACTTGGCACTGCTGCCCTGGCTACCGGTGACAGGCTCTTCGTCCGTCTCGGACTTGAGCTGTCTGCGGGCCACCTTGATCCTCAGCTCCCTGAGTCGATCTTCGGGACTCAGTCCAAGGTCCTCGTCGCTCTTGAGCCTCGCCCGGGCCCTCGCATCTTGGCGCGCCTTCTCCGCGGTCTTGCGCGCCTCCTCGTGCTTCAACCTCGGCGGGGCTACGGGGGTCCTGAACACCGACTCGTCGTTCTGGTTGTTGTCGTCGTCGGTGTTGTTGAACACGGTCGCGCGGTAGACGGTCATCGCGGTGGGGCTGCCGATCGTCGGCGAGGACGGTCCGTCGCGCGTCGCGTTCAGGAACGGTGCAGGACAGCCCCTGACGGACGGACTGTTGGGCGGCAGGTTAGTGAACGAGGCTGTCCTCGCCGCGCGCTTCGCTCGCTTTTCCGCGGACTTTTGCTTCTGCGCCTCCAGCTTGTCCATCAGCAGGTCCTGGATCAACGACTTTTGCTTGCTACGCTCGCGCGTTATCTCCTCGAGCTTGCGGGACGTGGCTGGCGAGTTGAACCCGTTGTTCAAGCTCGCGGGTAGTACCTCGCACTTCTCCCTTTCCGGAGTCTTTGCCTGTTGCTGCTGCTGCTGGTCTTCCAAAGGTACCATCCCGAGGGACTCGGTGGAGCTGCGCGAGCCCTGGTGCCCCAGAGGCTTGGAAGCCCGACGCCGAGGCTTGCGCACGTCCGTTGCGTCCTTTGCGCTGAACTCGGCTATCCGCGACTGCAGCTTCTTCACGTACTCGAGGTAGTCCGCGTTGTTTGTATCCTCCGGCGTCTTTGGCGCAGCACCCGTAGGAGGAAGAGCTGTAGTGGCAGCGGGCTCGGGTGTCTTTGTGGCCTCGCTGGTGGTGTCCTCGGCCGAGCCGATCGCTAATCCCCCACGGGGGTTCATCGGGCTCGCGAGCACAGTTACGACTTCGCTCGTAGTGGTGTCCTCGTGGGGCTCGACCATCAACAGACTGTCCTCGTCCATCGACATGCTCATCAGCTCCTTGCCGTGGCCGAGGTCCTCGTCCTCCTGCGTCCCGGTCACCTTGATCTGGCAGTGCGGTACCAGGCCGTTGAGCCTCAGTCGCTCGCGTACGTCGTCCATCGTCACGGGATCGAACTCGATGACGTTGTCCTCGCAGCAGGGCGTCTGCGCGTCGGACGACTCCTCGAACTCGGTGCTGGCGATGGGGGCTACCGCGGAGTTGCTGCCGATCGGTGGCAGCAGTAGGGGCCCGGCTGCCTTGAAATTGACAAACTCGATGTAGCCGCGGTTGCGGGGCGGTCGCGACAAGTCCCTCAGACTGTCCTCCTCGAGCATGCTCTCGTTGTCCGTGTCCATGAAGCCAATGTCCTCCTCACCGTTGGCCAGCATCTTCGAGGCTATCGTGCTCGGCTGCTGGTTGTTGGCCTCGGCGGCGAGCATCTCCTCCTGCGAGTAGTCGAGCTCGATGTCCGTGAGATCCTCGCCATTGGCTATGCGCGCCGTCGTCCGTTCCATCGATGGCCTCTTGCTGCCCCGGCACTCCGGGTTCATGTCGTACTCGACGTCGCGGAGGTCTTCGGACACGAGGTTGTCGCCGTCCCGGGCCCACTCGGAGAACTCGGTCTCGGTGTACGCAGCCGTCGTCACGTCGTTGTCCTCCGAGTCGTTGTCGTTCCTGCTGGAGGCTCGCGAGGCCACGGATACGGGACTGCTGGGCCCGCTGGGGCTGTTCTTCCTGCTCGGCTCGAGCTCCGGCTGAAGTTTCAGGGACTTGAGGCTACTGTTGACTGCGTCGACGATCGTGCAGGGGGGCTTGGCGGTGGGCTGCTCGACGGGTTCCCGGGGGCTCTCTTCCAGGAGGTAGGAGCACTCGATCGAGTCCGGCTCGAAGTTCGCTCCGTCGCCATCGGGAGTTCTGTCTGCTTCCTCGTCGAGCAGTAGGTAGCCATCGGTGCTGTGGATCTGCAGCCTCGGTGGTGACAAGTTGGACGGGAGCTTTGGCATTATCGCGTCCTCGGCTTCGCTCGACGACAGCGAGTCGCTATCGATTTCGTCCGAGTCGTCGCTACTGCTGCTAGTGTCACTGTCGTCGTCGTCCTCCTCCTCTATGTCCTTCTTGTTCTTCTCCCAGTCGACCTGAGGCACGATGATCGACGTCTCGTGTAGGGGACTCCTGGGCCTCGACTCGCCCTCGTCGAGGGGGTTGCTGTTGTCGCCATTGCTGAGCTGCCGCGTGGTCGTCGTGACCGCGTCCTCGATATTTTTGGTCTCAACTAGTGGTGTGGGGGTCCCGGACATCACTTCCTTGGACTCGCTCGTCGGGGACGGTTGCTTCTCTTCGTCGATCGCCGCTGACTTGGACGGCTCGAGGATCACCGGGCTGGCGGGCTTGCCGTCCACCTCCTTCACGAGATCCGGCAGCTGGACGTTTTTCGCGTTTTTGTCTACAAGCGTAACAAATATGTAAATGTAACGTTCAAAATCAAAATAGTATAATTGGCTGGCCAAACTTTAGAGTCACTCGGAAACACATTTGTCGACTCACCGGCAGTGGCATCGGCGTTACCCTTGGCGTTGAAATTAAAAGCCCGGACGGTTGGCGAGGACGCGGAGTTCCCGTACAGCACCGAAGGCGACAGGGGCGACAGGGGCTGCTGCCCCGAGAGCTTGAGCTTGCTCGTGCCCTGCAAAAAGGCCTGCATCGAGGGACTGGGCTCGGGTGCTGGGTTGAGGAGCTTCTGGCTCGCCGATATGGCGTCGTTGAGGTTGCGCACCAGCTTCGTGTCCACGCTCGAGGTCGAGCCCGACTTGACCACCGTGCCCCCGAGACCGGCGCCGCCGAGCAGGTAGCGCTTCTTCAGCTCGAGCGACAGCCGCGAGGCTATACCTTCGGTCGACGGGGTCCGGTTCAGCAGGTAATCGCCCTTCCGGGGATTCACCAGGGACGTCAACTGCTGCCGCGAACTACCCGTCACGGTCTTGGAATCGTTCGTCGTCGTTGTCGCGTCCCGAGACTTTGGTGGGCTAGACTCGTTCAGGGCGTTCATCTTCGAGATCTGATGCTGTCTCTGCAAAACCAAGGCAATTTAATGACACTTCCGAGGAATACGTTGCACGGGGGAGTATAGTACAGGTGCTCGGCAACACTTACCGATTGTTGGGCCGATCTCCTGTTGCCGCTGGGCTCGCCGTTCCTGCCATTGACGTTGTCGCCGTTCACGGCGGTGATGACGCGGCTCTTGACTTGGACCTTCTTCGGCTCTACGTAGTCGCCCCGGGTTTTGCGGACGTAAGCGTCGTTTATCGCGATCTTGGGTATCTCGTGCTGCGTGGGCGTCGCGCCGTCGTGCTCGAATTCCGAGTCGGTCGAGATCTCGGTCGCCGAGTTCTCGCACTCGTTGCCCTCCGAGTCGTCGTCCGAGTCGTCCGAGGCGATCTGCGAATCAATGAAGGTCGAGTCAGTCTGTGTGGACGGTTGTGCTTTTTTTTCAAAATTGCAAGCTTTGACCCGGGGGTTTTTTTTATGCCTTGGAATTTCTTGGAGTTGGTCGAAGAAATTTCAAGAAATCGGTGAGTATCGGTAACAGTTGTTTAGTACTCAAAAGTAAAATTTTGCGGCACAGCTTTGCGATCGAAGGCTGTACCTATGCATTGATTATTTTTGTGCAAGTTTGTATTTTTTCCACCTTTTTTCGCTTCACTAGACGTTCGATGAACGATCCGGTATTGAAAAAATAAAGAAACTTTTGTGTGCGGTTTAAAAATGTAATCACTCAGAAAAAAAAAAACAACCATTAAAGCGTTGATGAGCGAATCTCGCGTCGAAGGGTGAAAAAAATGTTTGCGAATTAAAAAAAATTAGTGAGTCATGAAAGCTTATTTTGTTTGTGACAAGTAAACTACAAGAATTAGACAAAAAAAAAAAAAAAAATTAATCACCACATGTGTTAACAATTATGTGTCATCAATGTAACATTTAACATTTATATACACGACACGTACAAGGACTGGGACTTTAACACTTTTTTTATTTATACAAAGTGGATCTGACATTAAAGTATAGTTAATATTCGTTTAATATTCGTGGTATTTTGTCTTGACGCACAAAAGAACAACGAAGTTAAGATATTGTTATGGAACACTGTATCAGTGAACAAAAAAAACTAGTTGAGAAGAAAAAAAAAAAAAAAACATTGTAAATACACTTCGAGATGGATGCGAGCATTAAGTATCATGAATATTACTGGAAGGAAGCAATTTAAAAAATTGAAAATGCATGTATGAATATATGAATGCGATGAAGATCGGTTTGTTAAATGCACACACGAAAAACAAAATCAAACACTTGCGCCCAGTATTATTCATCCCTAAGATGCTGAAACATGTATATTAATAAAGTCATGGCTGGTGGTAACAGAATGATGTAAAACTATGGTATGAAAAAAAAAAAAAAAAAAAATTTGCCAATCACATGTGTGAGCTGAAGCTGTTTGTAAAAAAAACACACGTATACAAGATTAATTTTAATTTGAGTGACTTTGGTGTTAGGATTATATTATCGATGTTGTATTAGTTCACACGTCATTCTTAAAAACAATGTATCCTTTACCTTAGATAATTTATGTTCCCTCGCTTTCCGGGACTTGAATTGTATTTTTTTTTTTTATCTTTTTTTTCATAAATTTTGATAACGTTTATTCCGTATTGTTTGTTTTTGCAAGAAAAANAAAAAAAAAAAAAAAAAAAAAAAAAGAAAATCAGTGGAAATAGGACAATTTATTGCCAATCACCATCAGCCATAAATTTAACTTTGTTGTTTGTTTGTTTGTTCAATCTTTATTTAAACAAAATCTCACACAATGTATCTGCCTCGTGGGTAAAATAAATATGAAATTAAACAATGCCACAATTAACGATAAAAATCATCGTAAGAACAATCGTCGTACTCGTACTTGACATTATGTAGCTCACTTGCACACTTTGTCACCGTTTTTATACAACGTAAAACGCAACACATAACAAAGTACATGCTCGCATTCATCCTCTCTAAACTTTTAAGAGAACCGATCGTCGAATCCAATATTGTCCCACTCCAATTTCTTATTTACTTTCGATTATATCGACTAGATGTAAAAGAATATGCGTGCGTTAGGTATATAATATATGTTTATGTATGCATGAATATGTAAAAGTAAAGGAACCGTGTTAAGAAGGGATGATAAAATTCTGATGGTGCTTTAGTCACTGTAACGGCGATAAAAACAAAAAAGAATGTACATCAGTCTTGAAGCAGCGACAAAATGGGCATATAAAAGTACCGCGCGGCGCGAGCCGTCGTCTCTTAAAAATTTAGAGAGCGAAAATATATGTGTATACATATATCGATCGGCGATACCACACACACACACGCCGCGCGCCCAACCAACAGAATCACGAGATGACGCACTTGTCCTTGGTTTTGGGGCGCGCGTCGTTGGCCGGTGCGCCGGTTATCTTTTTCTTCCCGAGCACGGGCGAGGACGCCTCGGAGCCCGAGGGCTTGCGCAGCCTGAAGCTGAAGGTCTTTTTCAGCGAGTCGGACCTGAGGGAGCGGATGGGGGGTACCGGTGTCGCTGGCTGGGACGCCGACAGCGGTTGGGTGGGGCTTCGTCGCCGCTCGGGCTTTTTCGGGGCTCTGTCCTCCTCCGAGGGGTGGTAAAGGGCTCTCTGGGGTGAGGGTTTCGGCACGTCGCTGACGAGGATCTCGCGCTGGTGGACCACGATCCTTTGGATCGGTAGTTTGAGCAAGAGCACCGGCGGCTTGGGGAGGACGCGGGGCCTCGGTGGCTTTGGGGACTCTGGCACGCACGGAGGTTTGTGCCTTACGACTACGACTGGTTCTCCGTTCGTGTTTTGGGTGAGGGATGGCTTCGCAAGGTCGCTGCACCTTTCGAGGTGTATCACTATCTTGTTGGGATCCGTTGAGATTTTAATATCACTGTTATCAACGGTGGTCGCTGTGTTTTCAACTTTGAGGGGAGTGTCCGAGATTGGCGAGAACAGACGTGTTTGTTCCTTGACAGGTGTTGCACTTTCTTTGGTCGACGCTATTTCGGGGATCTGCAAGGCTCCATTATTCGGTGGATCTTTGGGAACCGACAAACTTTCTTTGTGCACGATTGTGGGATCGTTAACCGTCATCGCTTTGGTTTTGCTTTTCTCGTGCTCCTTGAGCGGTGACAAGATTTCGGCCTTTAAAATTTGCAAATCCGAGAACGTCTTGGGCAATTGTTTCGTCAAATCGTTGTCATAAAAAATTTCACCGTTTCCGTTTGATTTATCGGTAAAATCATCAATCAAAAGTCTCTCGCGAGAGTCACCAATAATCACTGGCAAGTCGACTCCTAGTTGGCCTTTGATGCTGCGATTCTCAATCGAAATCTCACGTCCAACGCCATTAGCTTCGACACCCCAAACGGATTCGCCATCGTCCATCGTATCTTCTTCGAGAATGTCGGCCAATACGCTTCTGTCCAGTACGATTTCTCGGTTGTTTTCCCCACCCACGACCTCATCCTCGAACAAATCCGTATCATCGCTGTTGCTATCGTCGCCCTGGACGTCGCAATCGCCAAACAGGTCCATCTGGAAGCTCGACAGGGACTCGCTCCCGAGCTCCACTACCGTCTCCAGGATATCGAGGTTGTTCTTGTTCTGCCTCTCGATTTCGTTGAACTCCCGCTCGATGTCGTCCACCTCGAAATCCTCGCTAGCCAACTCGTCCAGCAGCACGTCGACCTTCTCCCTCGCCCTTTCAGTCTCCCCGGGGGACGCCTCTTCACCGGCAGCGCCAAAGTACTTCAGAATGTCCCTCTTGTCCAGCTTGTCGGAGACCTTTGGCCTCGCGTTCAACTCGACTCGTCCCTCCTTATCTCCAGAGTCCTGGTTGTCCCGCGAGAACCACCTGCTCATCTGCAGCCTGGCAGTTTCCACGGCCAGTGGCTTAAGCGCCTCGCTCTCCTGGGCCATATTGCGCGCCTTCCTCTGCCTCAGCTCCTTCAGGAGGTTGTCGAACGAGGTCGGACTGTCGCTCTGCGGCTCCCGCTGCCTCGGCGGGGACTGCTCTTTGGGCACCGTCAGCCTCGAGCTCGACTCTCCGGTGGGCCGGGGGTCGGGCGGCCTCTCGTTCGTCGGCGTCGGCGCCGTGACCATCAGCACCGGGCCGTCGTCGCCCAGCCACGTCTCGGGGCTGGGTATTCTCAGGCACAGGGGGTGAGCGTCGTCCGTATCCTCGAGCGAGGCGAACGACAAGTTGTCAGACACGAGGGAGGAGCGCGACGAGCATCGGCTTAGCTTGGACGACGGGGCGGATATGAGATCGGGCAGGAGGCCACCTATGCCGATGTCCTCGGTCGGGGGTGGTAGCTCCAATTGGGGATCGGTGTGCCTAGCCACAGTGGGTTCTGCCTCGTGACTGGGAATGGCATCGGGCAGTGATTTTCCGGGGCTCGCGCTTCTCCTGCTCGGTTCGTCGCACGGCTCGGTTATCTCTATGCGCATCGCGGGCTGGGCTTCGCCGTTCGGGATTTTTGGGGGGAACACGGGGGTGGGAACGCTCGGTGCAGATAGAGCGCCGTCGGTGGCGGTCGCGGGAGTTGTTTGAGATAGTTGTTTCACCTCGGTCTCGGAGCCGGTCTCGGTGTCGGAGATGTGCGTGGGCTCCGGGAGCCAGACCTCCTGCTTGCGCAGCTCGCGGGCGCGCACGTCCTCCTCATCCTCCGTCGCTGTTTGGCTGTCCTCCTCTGCGAAAATTCAAACGAAATGATAATATTAATTGTTTTGCAGATAAGTCCTCGATGATTTTTGGAGGAAATGTATTTTTTTTTTCCGGTTTTTAACTACGCAAATAATTGTATAAAGTGTTAATCTTTCGAGGATCATCACATCCACTACTTGAGCAGAGAGGATGTTGCTGTACTTGGATCGTCACTTGCATTTATAGTTGAAAGTTAAAGTCATACATTTATTAAACATTACAGAATTTTAAAAACTCATTAACTAGATGCTGTAAGAAATTTTATCCGTTTAACTAGTGATAAATCACCTATTCACGCCTTTGTATGTAGACTGGTGTATCTATAATATTGGCAGTGATAAGCGAAGAAAAGTGAGATAAGCGATGATAAACGATGATAAGCAATGATAAATTGTGATAAGCTGAGATAAATAAGATAAGGAATGATAATTGATGATAAGCAGAGATAAGCAAGATAACCGATGATAAGCAATGATAAATTGTGATAAGCTGAGATAAACAAGATAAGGAATGATAATTGATGATAAGCAGAGATAAGAAAGATAACCAAAGATAAGCAGAGATAACCAAAGATAAGCAGAGATAAGAAAGATAAGGAATGATAAATTTTGATAAGCGGAGATAAGCAAGATAACCGATGATAAGAATAGATAAGAAAGATAATGATAAATTTTGATAAGCGGAGATAAGCAAGATAAGCAATGATAACCGATGATAAGCAAAGATTAGAAATCGTATGTGATGGTGAGTAGAGATAAGTATGAATGAAAGAATGATAAGCCCTCACTTCTTGCCAAGTATGGATATCAGTGAATTATGAATAGTGTTTAGTAGATAGATATTATGCTTTACGAATTTTTAATTATTTATGTAATGTATGCTTGTCTCCTCAATTAAGTGTTACGACTCGATATAGCTAAGTTAATGTTGAAAATTTCTTTTTAATTTTTTAATCATTTCTTATTATTATTTTTTTATCTATGAAAATGCATACTGCATATTAACTAACAAAGGGACAGTCATATACTTGTAGCTCAGTTTACTGTGACGCATGTCTTAGGTAACTTACGATACTAAATCTGGTTGAAATATTTTTTAGTTTTTTCCGAACGGTATTCAGATCCAAGCTGGACCTGATGTAAGATTTTTTTTCACAAAATCGGTTTTTTTTATACCACATGGGGACCTTTGAGTATACTCCAGATCGCCCAGGGTAAACTTGGGATCGGTTGGAAAAAGTGTGGCGTTAGGAACATTTAAGGGGTATCTCTCCTTCATAAAAAAAGTAGTAAAGATGTCCCGTAACAATCATTACATTGTCATCCGGGTGAGGGAAAATTAATAAAATAAAAATAATTAATGTGTTTGAACCTATCAAAACATTAATTATTCCAAAATTTTTGGACGCTCTGGTTTTAATCGTTATTTCCGCCTTCTTCGTTTTATGAATATATTTAACAATTACGAATTTTAACATAAATTTTCAAAAATGATCACATTTATTGACATCGTAATAATAATTTTAAAATATAATAAAACGTTTTTTTCATCGATAAGAAAATGTTTTTAATAACACATAGTTAACGAGTTATTAAAATAAAAATTTTTTTGCTCATGTATAAAAATTACTAAATGTTGAATTCATTGACAACTATAAGGAGAATAAATAACTCTTAGTCATCAACGTATCAAACCCTCTCTGTCCACGAGAATAAAAAATTTCTGACTGACAATCTGTCAGTTCGCGTTTTATCTCCATAATCGGAGATATTCATTGATTGTATTATTTTAGTTCATCATTCGACCTATAAATAATTTCCGTATACCCAAAAACGAGTACGAAAAAGAAAATTTTTTCATAAAAATCCCGTCGCACTCTCCTGCAGACGAAAACATTGCAAATCAATCATAAAGAATCTCCCGCAGATCTTGCAAAAAACCTGCAGGCTCTCCCGAAAGATCATCCGAAGGATTTTGGCGAGTCGCCGGCGAATGCTTCGAAAGCTAGAAAAATAAGTACCAGTGCTCGTGTAATCGTCGCTCGAGTCCTCGTACTCGTTGCTGCCCGTGTCGGAGTTTGCCGTCGCCGGATGCGGATGCGAGTAACGGAGGGTCCAATTTTTTGCCAACTCGAGCGTACCCTCAGTCGTCAGGGGCTGATCGATAGCCTCCTCGAAGACCTCGTTGTCGTCATCCGAATCGCTACGAAAATTTCATACGTAAGCCCTCACTGAGAACAGTGGATAAAAAACAACTCCAACCACCCACCTCATGTCGGAGATATCGTCGCTCGAGCCCATCTCAGCCGCGGAGGGCCCAAAGTTCCGGTCGGTCCACTCGTCCTCGTCCATGATGCTCTGCGCCTCGTCCGCGTCGGACTCACCCGCGAGATTCTCGAACTCGATCCTCTCCGGCGTCTGACCGCGATCGAGCAGATCCAAACCCGAGATACCCTCCACCGACAGCTTGTTCTGAAACAACGAAACAACATCATCACCCCATCCATTATTGTCTTACCCCACCCTAATCGGTATATAAGCTCACCTTGTCCGGCGACTTGATCGGCGCTTGCGGCGCGTTGTCTTTGCTCGGCGGATGGGTCTTGTTCTTCCTCTCTATTCTCGTCTGCATGGTGCCGGGCAGGCCAAAGTGCTGGGTGCAGTAGAACCGGCCCCCATTCTTGTCCCGGTCGAACGTGTGGTTTCCTAAAAACAAAAGGGCCTCGTCTATCATTGCCGGTCGATCAACTCGATCCCCCTCTTCCATTGGCGACAACTCGTCTATTATTAGAATCTGTTGTTGCATAACGAGAGAGCGAGCGTGTGTATATGGAGGGTATGCTCGACGTACCGATTCGCAGCGACGTGGAGCAGTACTCGCAGCGGAAGCAGCCGCGGTGGAAGGACTTGCCCTCGGCGGTGAGCCTTTCCATGACGTAGACGCGCTTCTCGCAAAAGTGACAGGTGTCCGAGCCACCCTGGGCCGGAAGAGCCAGCGCCACTTTCGAGTTCTGAAAACATCAGGGCCAACACGTTTTAGGAGTGGGTTTATCGTACACACATTTTTACTTGTTAGGGTTGGGTATCATGTGATTTTTAGGTGCATGCGAGAGAGATGCAGTTTTTACAATGGTTGGATAAATATGTTAGTTGATTTCATTGATTGGTAATGTGTATGTTTTTAGTTGAAACAACAGTGGTCGCTGACATTTTTACGTGAAACGATTAGATGAATACCACATAGGAATTGTCCATAGCTTTGGTTAAATGCAAAAAAAAAAAAAATACAAACGGGTGTACATTCATGTGTAGGCGCGAGTTTGTAGTCATAAAATAGCTTATTGTTTCTTTATTTTCATGCTTTTTATTTTATATCCAAATTGTACAGTAAAATTTTTTTTTTTCTCCATCTTACAAATTGTCACCAGATTATTCTACACAATGACGTCACTCGCACTCGAAAACATTGTACCTACGTATTATGTGCTACGATAAACGACTAGAAAAAAAAAAAAAAAAGAAAAAAGTTGCACTCTCAAGCTCACTTTGCCCATCAAATCAAAGATTTAAACGTATGTATACATGTACTTAAAAGCTACCAGCAAGTTCATGACCAAAGATAAAGCCATTCGCAACAGAAAAAAAAAAAAAAAAAAAAAAGTGAAAAAGACAGGTAGGTCTTATCATTCACCAATGTTTAAGTAAACCCTCTCGTACGAACTTGTATGCACGCAATGACAGAGTATATAAATGTGTGCGAGCCACAAGCAGTACCAAGCCAAGAAGAAAAAAAAAGCAAAAGCGATAGTTACAGTGAAATAAAAAAAAGAAAAAAAAACCTGAGAGCTGCGCGTGCGAAACAAGGCACGGAATACAGAGATGCGTAGAAATGAAGTAAAAGCAGAGCGAGCCTTTAGAGCGAGGCGTAGCAAACACAGTAGGGCGCGGCGGTGATGCGGCTCTTCTCCCGCTGCAACTGCCAAAGGATAATTACCGATCTTTGGACCTTGGGTTGGTCGGCCGAGGCCGCGGCCTCCTGGTTCTTACTCGCAAACTGCTCGGCCATGGCCGAGACCTTGTTGTGCCCGAGCAAACTGCCCTCCTTGATCTTCCCGTAGTTCTTGAGCGTGCTGTCGATCTCCGCGTACTTGCTGTCCGGCTCGGACGGCTCGTGGCCCTTCTTCTCCATTTTCGTCTGCCGTGCCAGGAACTGCTCGCGACTCCACTTTGGCACCCGCTCGACCTTGTCGTGACGCACGGCCCGGCCCATCTTGTTCTCCTCGATTTTCTTCTCGATCTCCTTCACGTTCCAGTCCGTCTTTTCGATTTTACCTGCAAATCACACGATCAACCGACAATATTCGGGCATTTTCCTCTCACCAACGCGCCAAACGTATATTATATTATATTTACCGATCGCTCGCAGCAGGTCCTTGGGCTTCTTGTCCGTGGCTGTCGTGCCCTTCAGCTTCTCCTCGATGTTCTTTATCCTGCCGGAAAAGCCCTCGTCCACGCTGTTTCTGTGCTGGCCCGCGTGGATCTTCGATTCGCGATCCTGCAAATTATACGCGCAAATTCGTTTTATCACTCGATTCATCGTGAGATCTTTCATTAACAAAACACCAAACACTCGACGAGCTGCAAATGAACGAGTACAAAGTAAAACACTGTTAGGCTGGAACAATTATCAGGCGCAAAAGATTTCTGGACAAAAAAAAAAAAAAAAAAAAAAAAAAACAAAAAAACAAAAAGATACTTTAGATGATTAATTTTCATGCTGCTGAAAATCGTTAAGATGGTTAGAGGAGGAGCAAATAAAAAACACAACAATCGCTTTGGTCAGTTGAGCCTCGTGGGGGTACACGTGGTAGTTAATGTGCGTGGGAAAAACATCGGCAAGAAAAAGAAAAAGTTCAGGGCGAGCCTCGGCACGAGCCCTTACGGGGTATAGGATTTTCTGCTCAAGGTCTTTGACGCGGTCCTTGAAGTCGGGGGCCGTCTGCCTATACAGGAATATCGAGTAGTCCTCGAACGGCTCGTCCTTGTCGCGCTTCGCGTTAGCCTGCAGCATCTGCATGCTCTTGTAGAATTGCTCCGTGGCTCGTTTGCGCTGGTATTGACGGCGCAACATGCGCTCCAGCCGATTTTTCTCTATGTCCTGCAGACGCTGCATGCGCTCCTCCTGCTCGCCGTTTCAACACGACGCTGTTTGAGTGGTTTTTTTTTTTTTTTTTTTTTTTTTTTTTTTTTTTTTTTTCTGAAGGGAGGTGCATTGAATTAAACCACAGGGCAGGGACAGCGGTAGTGTGGGACTCGGTGCGTATAGCCGGCTTGTTGGAGGCTAATGTCTCGCCCCCTCCTTTCATTTTTTTTTTTTTTTTTTTTTTCTTTCTTTTTATCTTTTTATTTGTTTGTTGGTTGGCGCGTGTGTGGTGGTGTGTTGCGTGCATGCGGTGTTTCTCGATCTTTTTTAATGACGCTTCGATGGTGGCATTTTGTTGTATGTGATGTGTGGTGGTTTTTTACCTATTGCACAGCTATAGAATTGGATTTCTTTGCTGCTCGTGACATTTTGTGTGGGTGTGTGTTGCTTTACAACTGTGCTTATCGCGTGTTTGTTGTTTTCTAAACGATAATGAATACGCCGAGTTAAGAGTAAAACTTTTTGTGTTGGAGTAGACAAGATAAAACGAAATCGTTAAATGAGTGTACTCTGAAGATGGTAATCTTTTTTTTTTTCTTTTTACACGTAATTGGTGGCGTACGTGTGAAGAGCTTGTCAAAACACATGGTGTTATTTATTCGTGGATATTTTCGTACGTGTTTTTTTTTTTTTTTTTTTTTCTTCGGACATGCAAAGTTTACTGGAAAAACACAAAAACTTTTACTCCGTGTAACAATAACGACGGTAGCGATTCTCATGCGTCCCATGGAGAATCGACAAGGGGATAAAATGTGAGTGTATTCGTCACGACGCACACATCCAAGTGTACACGCAGACAGTACAATCGACAAGCATTGATTCTCGTTGCATAACTTTCGATTCCGATTGTTAAGGGTTAAAAATACTTCAATCAATCATCACGAAAACATCTGGAGCGCATCTTGAGATGTTTTTTTTTTTTTCTTCACAACGTGTCTTTCGCATTGAAAGTTAAAAATAAAGTACGTTACATCGATGTTGGTGGGTTCTTTTTTTTTTTTCATACTAAAAAAAGTAGCTTAACTTGGTGTCACTGTACACTCGCTTAATTAATCGGTATCCTCGTTTAAGGTACAGACGATTGCTGCGGCAGAGGTGCACAACGTCAATATCAACAGTCCTCGAAAAATGAGGGACAGCATCGAGTGCCACTTTGACTGAGGAGAGAGAGACATGGGACACAAACGATATTCTTTTTTATCTCTCGTGCGTGATTCTCTTAGAAAACTAACAATTCAAATGCAGAGGTGGATCGTAGGGAAAAAAAAAAAGAAAAAGAAAAAAAAAAAAAGAAAACATCAGGCTACTCTTGAAAAACGAGCAGCCCACCTCCGTCAAAAAGTAAAAATAAGAAAACGACAATTATATGAGGCACTAGAATCAAACCCACCACGGTGGCTCCCATCTTCTCGTTGCTTCGACGCTTGCGCGCGTGCCGGCGCATCGTGTCCGTCTTTTTGTTGTTGTCGCCGACGAAGGGCAGGTTCTCGTTGACGTGGCGCGACCTCCGACTGCGAGCCGGTGCCACGATACCCTCCTGCTTGTTGGTAATGCGACCGAGCAGCTGGGCCTGCTTCTCCGGTGAAATCACTTTCAGCTTTTGTGAAAGCGTAGGCCTATCCTCAGTCTCTGGTTCCTAAAGGCAGACATCGAAATGTTGGACATTTTTTTTTCTTTTCTTCGAGGATATACATAATATATTCGGAGGGCTTATGTACTCACCAATTTCGGGTGTTTAATATGTGGTATTTCTCCACGAAACGCCTCGTAAATCTGCGTCAGATACGAAAACATCGTGAGCTTGTCCGGCACGTCGCACTGCACCATCTCCTCCCCCGTCATTATCTGCAACAACGAATGATCCAATAAAAAAAAATATATATATATAACTGTTTGGTGAAAAAAACCAAGCGTCACTTACCGGAGGAATGGCGAGTTCCTTCTCAAGGATATCAAAGGCAAGCTGGTTGTTGGCAACGGGGTCGTCCTTCTTGAGGGTATGGAAGTCGATGAGATCGGGCCTGTACCGGTGTATGATAGCCGCGATGGCCAAGCCGCTCTTGAAGGACGCTCCCATGTCGTGGATACGCACGCCATCGTACAGGGCCACCTGACGCTGCAGCCAGTGCAACAACGTGTCCGGGTGTACCTGTGAATCTAACGACCGGAAATAAGTTTCAACGCCGAGGCTCCTCAATTGCGATCAATTACCTCTTCTTCTGCGCTTCTTCGGCAACTCTATGGCAGTCTGGACGGGCAGTAGTTTGAAGGTTTCCGGATCGTCCGTGTCGAGCTGACTTCGCACTTGGATCGAACTAACGGAGCGCACGTTCAGGTTCGGATACCTGCCCGCAAACGATCATGATTAGTTAAGAAACCAAAACAAGCATTTATAAGGGCTGTAAAGCCACAGTAAGCAACCTCGTGTGGGGGTCCAGTGTGTAAGCCGCGTAGTCCCTGTTGAGGTTCTCGGGCGTCGTCTGTCCGAGCAGCCTGTAAATGGACTCGCGCTCGGCTATGACCTCGAGGGGCGTGAGCGAGCAGCCCCAGCCCTTGATGGCCCAACACGCGTCCATGGAGCTCAAAAAGCCCCTAGCGCAGCCCGAACCCGTCGGCCAAAACGGCTGCAAATTTTCACGCGCGCATTTACACCCCGAGCTTTCTCTTTGCGATTACAGGTACATACTGTTTCGTTATACACCCACCTCGAGCAAACTGTCGCCCACGAGGATCATGAGCAGGCGGTGCCCACGTCTCTCGATGACGCGGCTGGCGTTCTCCGCGGCGTACATGGAGGTAAAGTCGAACATGGCCACGTCCGGCTGGCCGTAGTGGTTCACCGCAAACTCCATGTCCACCATCTGGTACTCGGTCGAGAATTCAGCGGCCTCCCGCGCATACTGCATTAACGCATCCCTGTCCACGTTCTCCTTGGCCAGCAGCTTCGCCGTGTCCGCGTGATCCTGTCGTACATTTTTTTTTTTTTTTCATAGTACACCATCGCTAAATTGGTATGTCCATCATACGGGTGAATATACCTGGAGTATGACGCCCTTGTCGATGAGGCTATGCTTCTTGGCGGTCATGACAAAGTAGTGGGTGTCGTCCTTGTAGTAGACGATGTTCTCGAGATCAATGCCGGTCTCCGAGTACAATTCCTTGAAGAACTTTTGGTTGAAGATGAAGGCGACGCCGCTTATCTCCTCGACCCTCGCCTCGGCCTCGGTGCGCTTGTTTATGAAGTTGGCCGTGATGGCGATGGCCAGCTTGCCCCGGAACTCCTTGCGCTTGAAGCCCTCGAGGGTGTTGCGCTTGCCGTCCGCGCCGATGAGCACGTCGAACTCGTACTGCGACACCGGGTGCTCGGCTGGACACGTTTTCGCACGCCAGCCGATTTCTGCGGAAAAAAAAGAAAACGATACAAACTACATTATACCATTTTTCTCCCCTTCGTTTCGGGAAAATGGAGGCTGGCATTTCGCAGGAGACAAATTCATGTTCACAAATAAAACCAAGTAAGGGATACTGGTATAATATGAAGGTGGCTCTCACGTGCATCTTCTACTTTATGTTTTTTAATTATATTGGGAGTTTTTGCTTACAACTTATAGGTACCTACTCCCCCTAATTGAATATTGTAAAAGAACACTCAAGGTAATAACAGCTTATCAAGTAACTGAATTCGTTTATAAACATTTTTTTTGTCCTTGTGCTGTGCGAAAAAGGACTCTAACGTTTAAAGGAGATTCAATGATTTTTTTCAAAATGCAGAGTAAACAGTGAAACTTTCGACAAGAATTTATCAGAGTGTCAGGAATTTATGAGAATTTTTTTTCCATATTTTTTACCAAACATTTTTTCAGTATAGCAAATTTCAATTCTTAATGCAAACTCAATGAATTTAGGCTCGTTTTTCATTCATAAAAAAAAAAAAAAAATTTGGTAAAAAAATATTGAAAAAATTCACACAGTTTACTGACACTTTAAATAACTATTGTTTAAAGTTTTACTTAAGGTTTTGAGGTACTACTCGATACTTCAATACCACATTGATACTTTGTCGTGAGTATAAAAATACTTCTTATGATAATTTTGAGTATAAAAAATGATCGATTCTTTGATACTTATACCGATTACGATGCATACCTACAAAAAATCCATTGCTTAATTTGTATAAAATATTTCAAATCTTATCGCACGAATGCCAGTAAATCGAAGATTCACGTAGACAAAAGTGTACAGATATTAAAAGACTTGGGTGTACGTATACACACATAAACAGCTCGTGTTTTTCTTTTACGAGTGGGGCGACGAGTTATGTCCATTACCGTCATACCTTTTGAAAGAAAAAAAAAAAAAATCTTATCTGTCGTTACAGAAGTTTAATTTGTAGCTAGAAAATTCTTACAGTTGATTATTAATTGCTTTTTGTTTACTTCGTTGACTCGAATAGTTTGAATATAAATTGTACGTCCATTTTTTGTCGCATACTAAAAATAAGTATCTAGATTTGGTAAAACTTTTAGTTTATTTGACAACAACTATTAAATATAAGTAATTACACACACAATTATATAATCACACTGATGTTTAAATGATACAAAATGTATAAACTTCATCTTGATACTTCCCAAAGTGTATCGATTTTTTGTTACCGATACTGGTTTAAGTGTCGATTTCATGATATAATACAAGTATATAAATAATATCTTATTCTGGTACCACAAAATTTCAGACTATTACTGCTTTCTCTGCATATTGAGAAAATAATTGTACCTCCTTAATGAGCAAGCGTTGCTATCGCTAAGCCACATCAACACGTAGTTATAAAATTTTCCTATCGATTCACATTTGGTTTGGATACATTTTTTCAGTGCTAGCCCACCGATCGCTCGACAAGTATATTTATATAGCTGCTCCTCTTTCCATCGCCGGATTTTTCACATAATCAGATCATACACGCGTCGCGTGCTAAAAGGTACGTTTCTAGAATTGCAAACTCAAAAGTTACTTATACGTGCAGCTTGATCGATATCGCAAATTTTTTCAAGGAATAGTTAAAGAAATGTATTTCATATACGGAGTGCTCTTGAGTTGCTTCTGCGACGTGACTTTTGCCCTGGAGCATCTCGACGTCCAGTTTCAGTGGGAAAATGGCACAAACTATACATGGCCCTCCCACAAAGAGTACCAAGAAGCGTTGAACGAAATGTCTTACATACAATGCCGCAACAAAATCCAAGGAGTTAAATTTTGGAAGGACAACATGTACGTGGTGATACCACGAGTGGACGGATTCGCGCCGGTTACTCTGGCCGTAACCAAGGCCTCGCCAGTTAAGGGCACCAAGACGCCGTTGCTCGAGCCATACCCCAACTGGAAGAAGCAGAATAAACACCACAACTGCTTGGGCTGGCAGAACGTCAAGGGCATCGAGATCGACCCGATGGGTAGAATGTGGGTACTGGACATCGGCTATTTCACCAATTGCCATTCCCGTTTGGTGATCCTCGACCTCGAGAATGGCGGCAAAGTGCTCATGAGCTACACCTTTCCACGAAAAGTTATGCACGTCAGGCGGGACCCAAAGACAAAAAAGTTAAAGCCATTATATTACATCGTATTGGACCCCGAGGATGGTGGCTTCGCCTACATTACGGCTCAATACAGTTTCGATGTGATCGTCTTTTCACTGAAACAGCGAACCTCGTGGAAGTTCACTTACTTCCACGAATCGTTCAAGTTGGCACTGGCACCGACAGATACCGAGAGCTTCCGGAAGGTCTACTTCATTACCGATAAGTCTGAGCCCAGAGTATTTGAGGTGCCGTCCTGGTTGATCAAGGATCGGGACTTGAACTGGAACTCTAGTCTCGAGATAAAGGAATTGGGCCCGGCGCCAGTGGGCGTGAGCGGGGCGATCGTATCAAATTCCGGCATCTTGTTCCTCACGACGTATCGGGTCAAGTCCCTTTACATGTGGAAACTCAACGGCACGTCCTTCAAACCGATAAAGCTCGAGTTCGACGGGACAAAGCCGCACATTTTGCACAAGCCGACCTTTGGGGAGGACGGTAACCTATGGCTTTTATCCGTATGGGGCTACGATATTCTGTCCATGAACATCTCGGGAATCGAGAACAACTATGAGTACTACTCGGAGTACTATCAGAATGTTAGTATATCGAAGCACACCACGACTGAAAATGCGCCGAAAAACGGTTGTATGACGTTCCCTACTCTTGTTGTAACATACTTTATAGTTACAGTAGCTTTTTGTAAAATATTTTTGTAATTGGATTTTGTGTATTTGCAATGGTGAAATTCTTCCCAGAATAAAAGTAATGATATACGTTATTTGGATCGTTGAGTTATCCACGTACGCTAGTTTTAAAATTAGTCATACCTCATTAACATAAGATTTTAAAAATTTAGCTTATATTATTCATTTACAAAAAATTTAATATTATAAATATGTTTATCTGTTATATTTGTATTTAATTTTAAGTGTATAGTGAGTATCAATCGTAGATTTGTATTTGTCATAAGTCATGTCAAACTGCAATGTTAAAGAGTTATTGTAGATTGAATTTTAATAAAGAATATAATTTAATATGACTTGCTTCGGGTGTTATGACTTTAATTACTTCAAGGCTATAGTGCCGCATTTCTTGAATTTTGAAAAAATTGAAAATTGTTTATGCTTAAAATCGTTACACTTAAACAAAACATCCTACAAACATTTACGTTATACCCCTTTTACGCTAAAGTTCTTTTACGTTGTTTCTTGTATAATTCTATCATATTTTATCATAAATTGCTAGCTTTCTCAGCGAATGTACACTTTTGTTCTGCCTGCTTAATTTTTCCCCTGATTGCGAAATATAATGTTGACATGTATGAGCTAAAGACATAAACCACCACTAGAAAGTCAAGCCATGAAAAGTTACTATAATCGACCCGGCGTGTCTTTTATGTCGTTTATACACTGAGAGAAAAAAAATAAAAATTACTGCGCTAGAATGGTAATCTGGTACTGTTCGATCGTATCTGGAGACTTTTTACCATTTGAACAATAATTTTTGATGTTTTGTAAGTACAGATGGTTTTTACCGTTTGTACAATAGAAATTACACTGTCCAGCCATGAAATGGTAAAAATTAGGTTGGCCTAAGTTAAATGTCCATAAATGGCGAAATGACACCAGAATACCATTCTAGCACAGTGTTTTTTTTTTTTTCTCGGTGCAGACACACACCAGTAGACCTAAAAATTTACAAAAGTACTCACTTCCTCCCTCCTGGTTCTCGGGTGGCGGCACCAGAGCCTCGAAGCTGACGTTCTCGTGAAACTCGACGCCAAGGAGCAGGCCGACCTTGAGCAGTATGCACTGCAACTGCCGGATGCTTATGTGGTCGATCGAGCCGGCGCAAAACTTGCCGAAGAACTTTTTCGCCCCCAAGGCGCGCAGGTCGTTTATCACGAAGGGCCACAGGTGGAGGACGTTGTTGCGCGACATGCGGTCCCGCTTCTCCACCACCACGACCTTGGCCCCCAGCAACTGGGCCTCGATCGCCGAGCGCATGCCGCACGGCCCACCGCCTATTATCAGCACCTGCGGCATCAAACGCACCCACAAATGAGCTTATTATTTCGCCATAACTTGCCCATATCCCTCAAGAGCTGTATTACTCACCCTCGTGTTGAGACACGCCTTGCCTCGGTTGTAGCACTTGTGGTTGGCTCGTTGGTCGAACTTCTTCCACAGAGCTTGGGCCTTCCACGAGCGTAGCTTCGACTTGAGCTTCGGGTAGAACTGATGGAAATTCGTGGGCTTGATCTTTAAAAGGTCGCATAGGTGCCGGAAGTGCCCTAGGATCGACTTGAGGGTCGTCGCGTTGCAGAACTGGTCAAAGACCTCGCTGGCCATTGCCACCTCCGGCGAGACCATCTGCTTACGGTCCATTTTTTCCTTCCTCCGATTTTTCGCTCTCCCTCGGTCCTCTCCGTTGTCAGGGCAGTTGAAGGGTGATTTTATTTGTTCTCTTTCGTTTTTGTTTAGGCCCACTTTGGCCTAGCCCCCGCTACTGCTGCCCACCTCGTCGCATTACCTGTACGCCGGACAAGAGAAAACAATGCTCTTTAATGGATTTTTAACGGAAGCAGTACACGTGACGAAATGCGCTCGGTGTACAGGCACGTATATATATATACACCATACATCGGGGGAACGAGCAGCGCCTATTAGAGCGCGGTGAATTCGCAATCGATCAACAGCCCCGCGAAACCCGCGCCTCTCTGATTCCGTTTGCTCGACGCCTATGCGCTATAGATTGCAATCGCATATATGTGTACACATTCAAATGGTGGAAAATCCAAATTAAATGTAACACCGATTCAAAGGCGCTCGGAGGGGGAGGAAGCCGTGGGAAATGGAAAATAGCGCGTGAGTAGTATCACGACATTTTTTGGCTTATGTCCATCACAAGGTGACGCCTCCCTGCCTAAGACCGAAAAAAAAAAAAAAAAAGAAAATGTACGCACCACCTATATCTACTTGCAGGTAAGTGTATAGGTTCGCCCCGCGAGCAATGTAGCCCTGTCGCCCCTTCGGGTCCAAAAATGGCATCCATATCGATTCATAACGAGCCTCAATTAGCCCCGCGCGCGAGAGATTAGGCCACGAGAAGAGAGGAGTCTTATTTCGCAGCGCGTCTCATTACGAAAATAACCTCGGGTTGGATTCGAGGGCCGCTCTCTCTCTCTCCCTCCCGTTCTCTTATTAGGCCGCGTCCACTCGTGCGGCTATACTTACACACGCGTACGTGAATTTCGTACTCGCTAAGCAGCTGTGTATATACAGTACACGGTCGGAGCTATGCAACGCACGTGCGTGAGCTCCTCCATTTTTTTTTTTTTTCTTCAGAAGAAATCGGTACAATGGCGATGCGGCTAAATAAGGCGTCTCTCGTCGGATGCTGTAACTCGAAGCCCAAAGAGGAGAGGGGAAAAGTTGCTCTTCTTCGGGGAAGACATTATTTTTGCCGATCGAGACCTTTTTTTTTTTCATACACGAGGAACAGTAAACACACCACTGGCTGGGAGCTATATATTAAAGATCGATAAGGTAAAGATTACTCGCGTGTAGACGCGGAAAGCGCCCAAACGGGCCAATGTCAAATGTATCCTCGATCAAACCTGTCGTCGCCGTTTTAATAAAGCCGTCTCCTTCGCGCATACCAAAATAACGCCAACGAATTAGAGAGAGTCGGAGCGCGAGTGTACAAGTAATTTTGGTCAAGCGAGAGAGGAAGGGAGGCGCAGAAAGAGAGAGAAAAAAAAAAAAAAAAAAGACGAAAACGGTAACCCGGTCGCGCGCCGAATATCAAAGCTGCCGTGAGGACGGCGAGAGCGCAACGACATCACGCGCGCCGGTTAATAAGTAAGCGAGCCCTGGTTTTCCCGAGCCAACCGAAATCGATGCAGGCGTCCGTAATGGGCTTTCTAATCGGCGATGAGCGCGATCGGGGTAACAAGTGGCGCGCCAGCGTCCACGCTCCACATATCCGAGCATATAAATATATACGGTCATATTTCAACTAGTGTTGGTTTTTGCGACGGACGAACCGAGCTTGCGAGCTTGCGTTGTACTTGGTGCGCATGAAAAAAAAAAAAAAAAAAAGTGTTTAGGCGCGCTCGGTTCTTTGAACTCGATGGTTTAGTGGATCAGTCCCTCGGCCGCAACAAGGAGAAAACTGTAAAAGAAAACGGGGAGCCCCCGGTACAAGTATGTACTTACCTGCCGTCGAGGCGCGCTACACGCGTCGGGCTTCTTATTCTGTGTACTTCTTTGTGCTCGGAAAAGAGGAAAAGAAAAGAGAGCCGATGAGCTGTTTGCTCGTTGTCTCGGGTGATAATATTAATGTGCTAAGGCGAGCTTTTTCTTTTTTTGCGTTGTTTTTATATGATATTTTTTTTCCCTCCCTCGCTGAAAGCGTTTCGGCAAAACAGAGGAGAGCAAAGGAAAGAATAGAGGTACCGAGCACAAAATAAAAAAGGGAGTTTTGCTTGGCCCCCTTCTCGAGAGTTGAGGGAAAAGTTTTTTCGAGTGCGCTTCGGGTCTACTTTTACACGGCAGAGCGAGTCGAGCTTGTTTCACGGGAGAGTTGCGCCGCGGAGTTGTCGGTTGCGATGGGCTTTTTCTTTTTTCTTTCTCTCTACTTTGATGGCTTTTAATTGGCTGCACTGAGACTGAGGTGGAGGGAGGGGTTTTTTTGGTTGAGCGTTGCTTTTGAGGAGGGAAATCAACTTTTTTTTTTTCTTCTCCATTCCAACGGTAGCCGTATCGAAAAATGAAAACAACGCGTGTTGAGATTTTATTTTCATCGCATCATCGATCGCTGCATTGCACCTCCGCGTCAGTCGTATAGTCACGTAACTGCAGGTATATAAGGAGTTTAGGCTGAAGAACCGTGCGATGTACCTATACGTTGTTGCCGCAGCTTGTGCAACGCGATCCTCGTACACTTGGGATTTTTTTTTTTTTTTTTCTTTCTCGTACTCAAGTTGGAGCCGAGCCATGCACGCGCTGCCGGACCATTGTTTCCCCGACGCTGTCGAGGAGCGAACAATGCTGGCAAACATTCGCCGGGACGATCGATCGGCCGCTCGCGCGACCACTCTAATTGATTTATCGATCGCACGTTGGCGGGATTACTTTTTCTTTTGTTATTACTACTGTGGATGTCGGACGAGGAATCTCCTGCGTCGTTTCACGGGGGAAGGACGGAGATTGAGACGCTGGCGAAATTTATCCAGCCCCGTTGGCTCGACCGTCGATCGGAGTGTCGTTAAATTACGTGCAATTGTTTGTTGCCGATTAATGGATGGAAACAAAAAAAAAAAAACAAAAAAAAAGTGGCTGAATTTCGCGTTTAGTAGGAGAGAGGGATGTAAAATGAAACAAGTACCGTGTGCTACCGTAGTGTATCGTATGATGGTGGTACCTATGAAATAAAAAAAAAATAAAAAAATTGCTCTATAATCGGGTGGAAAAGCTTGAAAAACGAAAAACAAAGAACTTCAAGCGTGAGGTCATTGTCTTCCACCTACGCGATTATAAGTCATATGTAGGTACACGTGGACACCTATACTCATACACATCATTGTTGGAGCAAATTACCGATCTCGAGTCATACACCCCCTGAATTCTATACTCTCGAGCATACCTATAGCATATCGCCAAATCGATACTTTAAATTAATTTTTTATACCGATCGATGAGCTTGATTTATTTAGATTCGATTTTCTTTTAACTCGCTTGTATCCACGGATGGGAACAGATAAGAAAAATTAATCCTGCCTCTGTGCGAGCATCTGATAAAATTTTTGTTTTTCTTGGTAGGTACGCTAATCGATATTTGTTTCAATTTTATACCTTTATCTTTACCGTGAAACGATAAAAAAAAAAAAGACCGAGGCTCGAAAAAATATATATCTAGGTAGTGCTGATCAGCTAGTGCCCGCCTCTTACCTCGCGAGGAGAAAATCGTTTTGATGTTATTATCGTGGAAGAAGCAACAAGAATCGATCAATTTACAGACTCGATAAGGTTATAGCAATGTAAACTTTTAACGCTCCGTCGAATCGAGATATTTAACCCATCCATCATTTCTCATCGCATGGAACGATACTGAACAAAAGCTGGATCGAACGAATCTTTAAAATTCACACAACGTATTGCTCTAGAAAATTTTTAAGCGTCAACATGCTACAGAGAAGAAAAAAAAAAAAAAAAAAAAAAAAAATTTGTACAAGATCCACGTACGCGTTTTACAGTAGTTATACGATCTACGATTTGTTTTCCCACGCACTGGAATCGCACATCGTGCCCTGCATATACACACGTATACACGTCGTACGCGCCCATGACCATCGCGCGTGCGAAACAATGCGGAGTCAGCGTTTACGCGCTCGCGGAAACTTTATGTATTGTGCTATATGTATGCACACGCTCAAGTGCATGCTATACGTATATCACGTGCACCGGAAGGGCTTAGCGCTCTCAGCTGTATCTACACCCGTAAGTACCGAGTATACACTTGTATATAATACGTGATGGGCTGCACGCGTGGAAAACATGACGCGAAAACTACTTGGAGTCATAAAACCGGCACGAGCCTCCTATGTGTGTGGGCTCTTCTTCAGGCCGTTGTGTAATCAGAGTCACGGGCAGGGGTGATGCAGGTATACCTAGTGTGGTACACATAGTGGACAACTCTCTTGTTACCCGGCGCCCTGACGGCTTTTTCCTTATGTTTTTTTTTTTTTCCTTCTCGTAAGACCAAACAGATGCAGAGCCATTTTGTTGCCGGTACCCACTATCGGTACCATCCGTCGAGAGGGAAAAATTGAACGACAACGAACTTCGTTTTGATTCGGATCCAGCACATGTCTCCTTGCGTGCAAATGAAAGACATTTTTTTTCTCTCTCTCTTCGAGTTATTTGTTTCGCGTCCTTGGGGAGTGACATCAATATACACAAACGAGTTTTATGATGAGTTTTATTTTTATACTTCGCGATTCTCACGAGGCGTTCGTGCATGATTGAGTGCGCGAGTTCAGAGAAGAAAAAAAGAATCCAACGGACAACTGTACCACGGAAGACAAAAAAAAAGCCCGCGCGGAACCGTAGCTCGCAATCGCGCGGTTTTGTTGTTGTTTTAATCTCTCGCGCGAGCCCCGAAATCCCCGATAAGATCGGCACAATTAGGCTCACCTCCGCATTCATTTTCCTACACTGAGCGACCCAATTCTTTGAATCAAAGAAAATTTCTTTACCCTCATTCCGTTAAATATTTTTTTTTAATTGAAACAAATTTAGTCGTCGATCCAAAAAAACATTTCGTACAACTAAATGAGAAATTCGTAATTAAAAAAAGAAAATTTTAATTTAATAAAATATTATTTTCAATTAACTTATATTTTTTTACTCACAAGGAAATATTTAACGGAATGAGGGTAAAGAAATTTTCTTTGATTCAAAGAATTGGGTCGCTCAGTGTATCTCCCGTGACACGGTATATATTATAATGTATCGCGTCGCGACCGACACAATCGGGCAACCGGTCAATTATCACTCCGCGTGTGTTATTGAAATCGTTATCGAGAGTTTGACGCTAATGTTGTCGCGAGTCCATACGTAGTGAAATCGATCCACTTTTGTGTACAAACGGAGCACAATCGACTGGATCGTGATACCTACCTATGCTATCCGACTGCGATTTTCATCCTCGCCGACACCGCACGACTGGCACACACGTATAGACACCAACAAAAATGGTAAAAAAAAGACAACTACCGACACCAAGTCCCCATGTTGTCCAACACTTGCGCCCGCACTTTTTTACCCCGTTTTACTTTGATCGCTACAACATTATAATATGATATGGAAGAGTTTGATGGCAGGTATACCGTGTCGGGCCTATACGTACGAGAGCCAAAAGTGCGACGAACGAGGAGTCGTCGGCGCCGATGACGCTCTCGCACTAGCTGATGTGACTGACTGCGGGGGAATGAGCGTGTGGGCTATAAATACTGGAGTGGGGGAGGGAGGGTCGAAGTGCCAGGCCAACGAGAGATGCAATCCGGAGTATATAGCGCGCGGACTCGCGTATTTGTACACCGCAGAGACAGAACTAGAACGGATCGGCGATCGGTTTTTTACCGATACTCGCGCCTGTCTTTGTACGTATATATACGCGTTGCTGGCGCTGGGTTCTTTTGACCACTGTGGGGGTACCTGGTGTACGCTGCTGAAGGGGTTTATGTGAGTGAAAAATATTTTTTTTTTTTTATTTAGAGAAAAAATACGAAACTTACAGGTTTGGATCAGTCAGGCTTGGGTACAAAATTTAATAGTCACTGAATACATCCATGATATATTGTCCACGAATGAGCCGGTGGGGGTATTTCGGGCACGGAGTGAAAATCATGCGTCAGCCGATATACTTATGATTCGTTTATTTTGAGCTTGCGTGTCCCTATCTACAAAAGAGAGATTAGCTCTAAATCGTTTTTTAGGATCCATTGGTGTAACATTAGATGCGACAATTCACATTAGCTGTATAAATACACACGAGTGCGATGGCATTTCGAAAATAAGAATGAAAATTTTGTTTTTCGATAAGCTTGTTTTCGTGACTAATCCGAACTTGATGAGATTTTAATTATTTTTACTTTTTAAATCTAAAGTGTGACTGTTGACGCTCATTTAGTATACATTTAAAATATCATTGAGAAATGAGAAGAAGCAAGTTAAACCCCAATCACAACACAACAGCCTAAAAACCACCAAATAAAGAACAATAAGATACGCCTCTCTGCCTAAAGATGGGGTTGTTTTTTTTTTTGTTTTTTTTTCGTCCAACAGAGCGTACAAAAGGAGAGCGTGTAACGAGGTTGAATTGGACCGTCCGGCTCCTTGTCCCTTCAAAGAACCGCACGGGCGACGTCAAGGGGCGTCGACTCTCCTTTTCGGCGTCGCAGACGAAGCTAACGCCCTCGAAATTAATATATCCCCACATCACTCCGAAACGACATACCTATACGGCCCATTCGACCCCGTCTGATGGATTTTGTCGTCTACCGATCGTACGGTATTTATTTTTTTTTGCACCCCCATTCCACTTTTCTTCCAGGGGTGGAAAACAATTTATTGATAATCGATTCCAAGATGTATTTTCCTCCGAAATTTCTAAAAAATTCTCCCATAGCGAAATCACGAGGGAGTGTGCAAGATTCGCGGAGCGAAAGTAAATTGCTCATCGCCACGGGGCTTTCCGGTCCAACGCGCGCTTTTCACTTTCCGATCGTCCGTCTCCCGAGAGAGCCGCGCTTTTTGCGGCGACTCGCTCGAGAGGAGACACCTCAGAGACGACCCGAGAGGGGGGAAGCAAAAAAAAAAAAAAAAAAGAAAAAAAAAAGGAAATCACGCTCCGCGACTTTTCTTTCGGTGACTAGCTCTTTTTGTCTGAAAATCGTCAGCGGAGCCGTGTCGCGAAAACGTCACCAAACGCACGTGTACTGAATCACCATCGTCAACGGCGTGAATCACGCGACGAAAACCACTCGCCTGAAAGCAGGTCGCGCAAGCTCCCACAAAAGCATCAGATGGAGTTATTCATCCCGTGTGCGACAAAGAGAAAGAAAACTCAATTAACACGCTCCCCGGGCTATACCCACCTCGAGGAAAGCGCGAATACGAACAAAAAAAAGGTGCATCAACTCGTATTAGAAAATGCCATTTTCACCACCATAAATACATCTTAGGCACGTGTTAACGCTCCATCACTATATATACCGTGACAGAGGTCTAATGGACAAGACACGTTTACCCAACATATCCCAACCAAAACCCAGTCCTGCTACTATATAATACATGCTCAGTGTATATTATACATATGCACACAAGTGCCGTACTTATCGCTCGCAACATGTATACACTCGTATGCACTTTATATACGTATACCTTTGTTTTGCTCATTGTTTTCCGGGCAATTTGACGAAAATATATCCACGAGGCGAGCCAACCACACACACACACGTACACTCAACGAGAGTAATTAATCGAAAGCACCTTGTATTCGAGAGCTTTTTTAGCGCCGGAAACGTTTTTCCGATGGGGTCAACGCACCGCCGACCAGTTGATACAAAATTCATGAGGCCGAGATAAATATACTTAAAAACGCTCGGTATCTCACACTTACGTAAACTCGATTTTTGGGCTCTCTACTTTGCGTTTCTCTTCCCTTCCTCTGTCTAATGTACACTGGGCGCTCTACGACAGGCCTGCAGTGGCCAGTCTATACTTACAAACGGACTTGTGAGTCATCGCTCGTCTACTTACGACGCAAGCGAGCTTTCAAGTACGCCTTTGAGTTGTAACGTGTCGTTGATCGGAGTCAATGGATTTTTTTTTTTTTTTTTTTTTTTTTTCATCGGGTGTAAAACAATTGCGATTGCGATCGGATAAATGGGTGTATCGATTTAGACAAACATCTCGCGTCTGGTTGTATAGAGTTTCGGCGGTGTAGTATCTAATCTCGCCCATTCAATGATATTGGCGAGCCTTGCGGTGGAGGGGAAAAAAGGCTCGGACTCGCTATCGATAAGGTTCTCGGGACATACGTAACAAAAACAAGGATAGAGACAACCGAGTAACGTAACCGAAAATTCGTGTATTTAATTGAACGCGTCGATACCTACTGTGGAGTTTCGTTTAAACAGACAGATGGTGCATAAAAATATTGGCGGAAGCATGTATAGATTTTCCCCGATCGTGTGCGGTGCGTGATTTCTATAGCGTTATTCCCAATCGGGAGAAAAACCACGCGTGTGAAAGCCTAGTGAAAAAAAGAAAGAATCAACAAACCGTGCCGGTTATGCATATATATACATATAGAGAGCGCAAGTGCGGGTACCTCCATAAGGAAATTTCTCCTCTCCCGTATATACATACCCGTTCGATTCCACTCGAGTTTATCTATACTCGTGCCTGTATGTATACGTATATGCGTAAAATGAAAAAGAAAAGCACGCGAGCCCGTAACTAATATGCGTTTCAATAGAAACGTCTTGACGATCACCACCGCTATTTGCTGTGTACGCGAGTGCAAGCTTTCTCCAGAGAGTAGCTTCTCTCGGCGGTCGGATTTATTGCCAACTGCGCCGCCGAGCGTGGTTTTTTTGTTTTATCAAAACGCTGTAAGCTCAAAGTCGAAAATTATGGATGTACGGTCAAAAGGTTCGCGGTTTAAGGACGGACACACATCGCAAGGGGGAAATTTGATTTTTTGTTTGCCAGGCCGATCCGCTACTAAATTCATCAGCACTAGGGTATTGTATATAGGTGTACATTTACGAGTCTTAACATTTCCAAGCTCGGCTCGAAAAAGATCGAGATCGGCGGTATAATAACGGAATCCCCGTCCCGAGCAACGGCAGATCGGTCATTGTGTTCCAGGCCGGACGTGACGCGACGATCCCTCGGTTACCCACTTACGATTGCGCTTACGAATTCACGACACCCGGCCCCGACCTTGCCACCGTGTATACACAGCACCTATACGTTACGGTGTAAAAAAGCCCCACCGTGGGACCGATTTTTAAGCGCTTACTCTCTCTTCCAAGCCCCATTTTCGCGGCAGGAAGACGGAGTGCGTCCGCGCGCAGAGTTAAAAATCGAGCCAACGAGGATTTGGGTTGCACGTGCTCTCGAGAGTATATAATATATTTATACACTTGCGTCGAGGGTTGACGGACGACCGGAGGATCGATCGCGCGTTAAATCGCTCGCTTTTTATTGCCTCGAGGATCGTATAAAAAGCGAACGATTCCCAAAGTGGGCCTCGGCGCCCAGCGGAATATATTTCGCCAAACTGATTTACAAGACCATCGAAACGGTGGGAGGTTAATTGATTTTACCAAAAGGTAACACACAAGCTCCCTTTACATCGTACCCTTCAGGTGCACGCGCTATTCGCAGATAGCGGTTTTATGTATAATAATGGGCATATAGGTGGTATCATCGATTCACCGCTAGACGGTAGACTCGATCGCGTCTATTATATCTTGGTGTATCCGCTGCTGCTTCCGAAGCTTCGACTCCGCAAGAGAGCCGCTAATTGCCGGGGATTTATGAGCCGAGCGACGGCACGAGCCATTAATTTTCGTCCCCTCCTCTACTGGGCTCGGCTTTCTTTTCTTTCCTTTTTTAATGCGCGCAAATTATGACGCCTTTTCGAGTTAAATTTTGTTGTGGAAAACGAGCCGTTTGCTTAAATTTACGGTGTCTTTGCTCCGTGTTTTATGGTTTTGCTCATAGTACCGGTAAAAAAAGGGGGATTTTTTAAATTATCGAGGCAGCCTTTACCCACAAATTATCGAAAATCAGATGCGAGTAATTTGATTACAAAAAAAATAATAAAACTTACAAATTTGTTTTGTAGGACAACCAATGCAATTAACCTGAAACAAAGCAAAAAAGAAAAGGATTACTCATCGATTGTAATGGTATTTGCAACAAGTGTGATTGTACGTATATTTATTTTCAATTACAAATTCCCTCGGCTTTCTAACTCGCCATAGTATAAATGTTTAAAACCTTTTTTTTTTCTTTTTTTTTTTATTCTTGGTGGAATAAACTAACGCAGACATCTCGCTCTACTTACTTACTCTATACCACTTCGGTACAGCATATCGCAGGGGGAATTTTTCTCTTGACTTTAATAAGCGTAAAGATGCACAGATAAGAGGAGGGGAGCAAAAAACGCAGCGCCTGGCCATTGAAAACGATAAAACAATTATATACGTGCAGTACTTTCCATCGGGAAAAACGTAAGTTCTAGGCCGCGCCTGATGATGATTATTGACACACTTCTGAGGAGATAGTTTATGCAAGAGGTAGTAGACCTACCTATATATGCATTGGTTGCAGAAAAAATTATGAGAGCAAAGTTAATGGTTTTTATTCGAAATAAGCGACACGAAATCTGGCATGTAGTTGATGGTGCATCAGTACAGGTACGCTAAGTTTTTGTAAGTCAGGTTGATTAAAAAAAAAAAAAAAATTATCGCAATTTGAAAAATATTTGTCAATTGTTGTGTTTCAATTAATATTAGTGTCAATAATTCTCAAGTAGAATCGAGTGAAAGTGTTTCATTTCCTTCACTTCTTGGCCACGATTTTCGAACTCCCGTCATCATCGGCTCGAAATAAATTACATAATGTTATTTTACCGACTATGCTACACATGCCGGCAGCAACTCTAGTAATTTTTTAACATTTGAAAAGTATCAACGTCGCTGCATCATTGAAACTTCATGTACGTTTTATCCTTGAAAAACAAATGAAACGACACTCGGTGGGTCAAAACTTATAAGCTCATATTTTTCCCTTTTCTCCACTCCACTCTCCGTTTTATTACGTAAACGTCCCAATTAAAAAGCATCAACTAACTCAACAACACCCACCGACCCGAACAATGGGGGAGAAACTGGAGGAGCAATTGTTGGTTCGCACGATAAGCCCGTAATGGGCTCGTGACACGTGCGTGTGTGCGTGTATATATATATATATATATATACATGTTACACACACACTTATGTACATTATGCACTTGCGCAAAAGTGCCATTTGTCCATCTCGAACGGACTCTGTACGAGTACACCGTACGACTGCCGGTTCACGGTATTTGTAGTGTTAATAATAATAGTGCCTTCCTCTCTCTAAGGTATTTTTTTTTTTTTTTTTGTTTTTTTTTAACGCGATAGTGTTGTTTGCATTTTCATATAATTACCAGAAATTTTATTATTCAGGGATGAGATGGAGAAAACCTGCAACGCGCTTTTCGGTCGCTCGGGTCGTTGACTCGCGAGGGTACTTTGGCTCTTTAGATTATTATCTCTGACGATCGCACCCATTATTCGATAGCTGATGCACGAAAAAAAAAAAAAAAAAAAAGAACAGCGTTTACCATGCGTTTGCTCTGCCGTGAGCCAATTAATTGAACAACCCCCGCGTGTAGCGCCGCGTACTCGCGAGAGCAAGGGCAAGAAGCAAGATTGAAAAAGGTCTCCGCCGGTGGTAAATTATGAAGCCGTTGCAGGCACTAATGCACTTCCAGTCCATTAATTTTCCCTCTCGAGAGCCGCTAATCTCGGGTGAACATTCGGGGCCTCGTCATCGGATTTCCTAATGAATGCACTGGTTTTTCCGCGCCCCGGCCACTCAATGGGGGCTCTTGTTCGAGAAAAACCAGTGTACACACACCGGCTGAAAAGACCGGCTTGTTTGCGAAGAAGAAGAACCAGAGCTTTTATGTATGGTGTGTACCGAGTAAGGGGGAGATACGGGATTTCGTGTATATACCTGTATATAGGTTTTGCTCGGCAAAAGTGAAACGGCTCGCGGAGAGCCGCAGGGGAGCGCGAAAAATCGTGTTCTGTACCATAATGTGTCGATGTAAGGCTTATGATGATTGTTAGGTACACGCGCGTAGGTAGCTTAGGTGTATGCCCACGATAACGTTTTCGAGCTCGTCATTTGCAGAATTTTTTTTTTTCCCTCCCTCCATGTCGTTTTGTCATGTATACACATCGCGAATGAATAATCAATGACGGCGCGGTCGACGTGCCTTTTCGCAGTTTATTTTTGCCTTCCCATAGCTCCCGGCTGTCATTCGTAAATCGATCAAACTGGCAAATCTTACTTTTTTCCAGGAAAAAAAAAAAAAAAAAAAAAAAATTTGTACAAGATCCACGTACGCGTTTTACAGTAGTTATACGATCTACGATTTGTTTTCCCACGCACTGGAATCGCACATCGTGCCCTGCATATACACACGTATACACGTCGTACGCGCCCATGACCATCGCGCGTGCGAAACAATGCGGAGTCAGCGTTTACGCGCTCGCGGAAACTTTATGTATTGTGCTATATGTATGCACACGCTCAAGTGCATGCTATACGTATATCACGTGCACCGGAAGGGCTTAGCGCTCTCAGCTGTATCTACACCCGTAAGTACCGAGTATACACTTGTATATAATACGTGATGGGCTGCACGCGTGGAAAACATGACGCGAAAACTACTTGGAGTCATAAAACCGGCACGAGCCTCCTATGTGTGTGGGCTCTTCTTCAGGCCGTTGTGTAATCAGAGTCACGGGCAGGGGTGATGCAGGTATACCTAGTGTGGTACACATAGTGGACAACTCTCTTGTTACCCGGCGCCCTGACGGCTTTTTCCTTATGTTTTTTTTTTTTTCCTTCTCGTAAGACCAAACAGATGCAGAGCCATTTTGTTGCCGGTACCCACTATCGGTACCATCCGTCGAGAGGGAAAAATTGAACGACAACGAACTTCGTTTTGATTCGGATCCAGCACATGTCTCCTTGCGTGCAAATGAAAGACATTTTTTTTCTCTCTCTCTTCGAGTTATTTGTTTCGCGTCCTTGGGGAGTGACATCAATATACACAAACGAGTTTTATGATGAGTTTTATTTTTATACTTCGCGATTCTCACGAGGCGTTCGTGCATGATTGAGTGCGCGAGTTCAGAGAAGAAAAAAAGAATCCAACGGACAACTGTACCACGGAAGACAAAAAAAAAGCCCGCGCGGAACCGTAGCTCGCAATCGCGCGGTTTTGTTGTTGTTTTAATCTCTCGCGCGAGCCCCGAAATCCCCGATAAGATCGGCACAATTAGGCTCACCTCCGCATTCATTTTCCTACACTGAGCGACCCAATTCTTTGAATCAAAGAAAATTTCTTTACCCTCATTCCGTTAAATATTTTTTTTTAATTGAAACAAATTTAGTCGATCCAAAAAAACATTTCGTACAACTAAATGAGAAATTCGTAATTAAAAAAAGAAAATTTTAATTTAATAAAACATTANTTTTTGCCTTCCCATAGCTCCCGGCTGTCATTCGTAAATCGATCAAACTGGCAAATCTTACTTTTTTCCAGGAAAAAAAAAAAAAAAAAAAAAAAATGCTACGTGGTCACCGTTTGTTTGTTTGGGCACAGTCACCTTGCGTGAAAAATCGTCAAGTAAAAAAACTTTTATATGACGCAGAGAAAATCAAAGCCAGCTAGATGCGAGAGCAATTTCCTATTGTAAAATGCTTTCCTGTTGTCACGAGACCTTGGACTTTGATACAGAGCAATAAGAGCGGGGGAGGGGGGGGGGGAATTGATTCGTCTTTCCTGGGAATAAGTGGAATCGATGCGCGACAGAAGGAGAACCGGCGCCGTTGTCTACAACATATATTTAAACATATACGTGAATCGAGTAGATGCCATGGTGTATCGTGTATATATGGAAGTGAAATTTGCGGATCGATGCCGAGAATGTTATAAGCAGGTAAGTATCTCGGAAAAGGGAGTTTTCGTGTTCGGCTCGATTGCCTCTTTTTACGTCTATAAATATGCAAATAATCAAAGGTCGCTCAATTATTATTATTATTTTTTTTTTTTTTATTGACATGGAATTTTATTTTCTTTCCTGCTTCAACGTTCGAGCCCTCAATCTTGAGATGTTATTTTTTTGCAATCGTTAAAATTTGATGATTACGAAAGTGACGCGAATGGTGATTTTGCGCTCTCCTCTCTTTTCTGACTTGAGTATATTTTTCTCTAGGATCCCGCGTGCAACGAGCCTGGCAAGTGATCATGTGAAACTCATCGAGTAGACGAACAACGTTACAATGGCCAACAACAATGCCGACACGACAATTTTATAAATTTGTGTGTGTGTGTGTGTGTACTTGTTTGCGTGCGACGAGGTCAGACACGCACACAATGCACAATCATATTATATATGTAAACGAGCGTGTTTTGCGTGAAAAATTAAGTAAACCTTAAACATTTGAGAATATAAAACCATACGGTCTGCGGCACGAAACCTATAGTATACTTTACGTATATAAATATTATATGCATGCACGCAAAGTAACTCGACGTATCTAATTATCGACACGAACCGTCTCTATTCACTTGTACACCGCAAGTTGATGTGGTCGATCAAGCGCATTTTCTGATGGTGTTGTCGTTACCTTACCTCATAGGCGAGTCTTATAGATGCTCACCTTAATTACACAGGATTACGCGTGAATTTAACGAGGTATACCTTGTTAGTCGAGGTAAAGGCATGTATTTGACCCGCGGACGTAATGAGCTGTTGCTATATAAATATACATGCACGCGGGTATGTAATGTATAAAATAAAACTTTATCGGCTGTACGCGATGGACTGTACAAGTTTTTTCTAGGAATATAAAATACATTAATTTGTTCTCATTGATGCACCGTTATTGGTGCGTTCGGTATATGAAAAATCGTGAATCCTCATCGCAAGTTCGAGCATCGGTTTATTTTTTTATTTATTTTACCACGGATTATAGTCCAAGCACTCGTAGCATTACCTTACTAAGAAAAACAACTTTCATTCAAAGTGCCTAC